CAGACAGCAGTCAAAGTTACTGGACTGCCATCCTGGTTCCACATCACTCAAGCTAAGCAGTGCCCTCCCAACCCTGAATCTAACCATCCTGAGTGGTCATCTCATCTTCTATCTCCCACCCGTCTCTGTCTCACCAAGGCCTCACAGCCACAACTCTCAGGCTAAGACATGTTTTGTTATCCAACTTAAGTTACTATCCCTTACATTCTATTTTTTTTTTTTACAGTAGGACTCTTGACAGTCTTTCCTAAAGACTCCCACATCATGCATAAAATTGTCTTCACGTTGTTCTACATAACAACTGTCTTAGTACTCTCTACCCTCAGCTGTTTAAACATGAGATCCCTGTGGGTCTAGGCTCTCATCTCCCTTATAGTGACACAGCCACAGCCCTCCCCACCCCTATGGTATAATTTCCTAAACATGATTCAGTCATCAGGCCTTATATTTCATGTGCTTCTTATTCTTTCCAGCTCAACTCCTGGACCAAAGACAACACCTACCTACCTACACTTGTAACTTTTACCCTTTCAGATGGGGGAGTAATTACCTCTCATAACTTCATTCCTCTTAACCCCACACTTATTTTTCAGATTCTGCTTCACCATGGCCCTGATGGAACGGCATATTTAGATCAAAGACACCTTTCCTTCTACCTCTCCTGGGTCCTTAAATATGATAGTGGCCTGCCTCCTCATAGCACCTTGTATTTTTGTTTTTACAATCTAGGATGTGAGCATTCACCAATGATAAAGTTGTCCTGGCTGAAACACCTGGTACCAGCTTCTGCATGTCAAGTGTCATCCCATCAACCTTCCTGAACTCCAATATGGCATCCCCTTTCAGCAGGAAATAGTAAGAGAGACATTTTGCCCTTTTCCTAACAATACAAAGACAGAAATGAGTTTTGCCCTAGAATAAGTTACAGGACACTATGGTAGTGGAAGGCCAAATTGAGGATGTTTACCCTGAGGTCACTTCCTCCTTCCCCATTACAACTTCCTTTTTCCTTTTGTGATAACTCGGAGCCCGGTATAAAATCCAAGGAAGCAAGAAATTAAAATTTGGGAAGCAAAGGCTTTATTAGGTAAAATCCAGGCCTGGTGACAAGTCTCCGGGAGCCAATTTGGAGACTGCACACCTCACAGCTAAAAGTCAGGTCTTTTTATCTTGTAAATCCACAAACAGCTGCTGGTCACACAATGTAAGGAGGGGGATGGGGGTGTGAAACGGCAGAAACGGCAATTGCAAGCCTCCCTGCATACTAGCTGTTGTACTTTACTTAAAAAACAAGACCCCATGGTGAAAAGCGGGGCAAGATCCCAAGATGACAAACGGGGCAATACGTCTTTTTTAAAAGAAGCGCTTTTATTTTAGCTGGCCCAGTGACACAGTGCAGATGGAATTCGCAAAGCTGTGCAACTGAGTTAGAGTTTTGACTGATTTTTATAGTTCATTTATGGTTAGCTCATTGATCATTAAGTACATAGTGATGAGAAACAGAAATAAGGTGGGCCTTGTTCCCGTTTGCTTGAGGTAACAAGCATTTCACAGTGGGTGGTTAGCCAATTCATAGCCCTTGGTCTGCCAATTCTGGGAACATTTGTCTCTCATAAAAGGAACAATGGTTGACATAGCATCATTTGTCTCTTACAAGGGGAACAAAAGTTGACATTGCACACAGGTCACTAAGGTAGGGAGGATGACGCATTACAGAACAGCAGAAAGATGCGGTCAGTTAATTTATAACTATGTGGTTGGTGCTTGGTTACTAGGGTAACGAGCTCAGTACAGAATGACAATATTACTAATAACTATCTTTTTAAGTAACTATTTTTGTTTATTATCTTTTAATCAATTATCTTAATTTTTAGCATCTTAGTATAACACTAGCAAGTTTAGATAAGAAGAAATCTTGTTTTTCTTAGCAAAGAATAGAAAAGTCTAACAGCAATTAACAACCTTAGTTACCTTACTTTAGCACCACAACTGTTCTATTTGTAGAGGGCAACAATGGTTAACATATCAATTAGGTAAGATTTTTACAATTCTTTACACAGGAGAGCATTGATTAACATATCAATCCTTTGCCCAGAGGGAAAGGAAAACACACATTTACAGTAAGGCCAAGTTACAGGTATTGCTATGATACAAACGAAGCTATTTTTGTGAAGAATGTACAATTTAATACAATCTAATGCAATTAACACAATTTGTGACGGGCTACCGGGTAGGGAAGACCCGGGTTGTCAGGAGCTATTACCTCAGGCCTTTGTTTTATGGCCTTTAAGAAGTTAAAACTTAACCTAGTTAGATTTGAAGGGAGAAGGGGAGGGGAAGCAGCAGGTTGACTTATACAGAACAGATCTTATGGCGCGATAGTTAGGGGGCCTTAGGTTATAACACCTTTCTGGGTGCACACACAGAAAATTCCAATCAGTTCCTCACACATCATCAATGCCCACCCTAAGTACCACCGCAGTCAAAGAAAAGCCAGACCTCTGTTGGTTTTGAGCTCCTCTCCATGTCCTTAGAATAAAGGCCACTTTTACTTTTATATTTTGCTCCTTTATTACACCAAAAAATGCTAACAGGTTTTTTGTTTGTTTTTGAGACAGCGTCTTACCATCTAACTCCGATCAGCCTCCAAGCTGAGGGGATCCTCTTGGCTGGATGCTCTTGTTTCTGGCAAAGTGTATTTCTTTGATCCCCTTTGTGTCTCAGGCCCATTTATATCTAATGACCAGAGTATAACTACAGCACCGTGACTATAACTGTGCTGTCTAAGAATATAGCAGCCTGTGTGTATTTGAGTCTGGATTGTTCTGTGATTTATTGAATCTCAGTTGCCTCCACTATAAAGTAAGACAAACATGGTGCCTATCTGATAGGTTGTTGTGAGTATGAAATAACAAGAATAAATACTTCTAGCAATTGGAACATATGAATGATAGTAATTTTTTCCATGAGACTGTGGACTCGAGGGTAGGGATTTTCAGGTGCCTTGTTCATTATTGTATGTTCAGAGTGTGGAGGATCAGAGACTACTTGTTGAAAAAATAAAGCAATCTCTTGACCATCAATTTTCTGGAGTATTGCAGCAGCTTCTCACTTTGATCCTTTTCCCTAGACATGAATATTCCCAGGCCATCGTATCTATCAGGTACCTGGTGGATGTGTTGAAACCCAGCTACCTGGAAGGTATGTGGAAACTGGGATTCCCATCCTCAGAGTTTCTGATTGCTAGCTCTGGCTGAAGAAGTTCTTGGTTATTATGGGTGACGTTATTCCAGGTAATAGACTTTGAGAAATGCTGTTCGAATCACACCTGTCCCAACCCGTGTGAAGTCACCCAGACTTCCCCCTGCTGATGAAGTTAACACCCTTGGCTCAATGTCTGAGGTCTCTTATAGTCTTAGCTTATTCAAGCCTGACTTACCTTTTCAGTCCCCATTATTTCTTTTTAAGTACAACACTTAGTTCAAAAGGGACGGACTCAGGTCTCTGGCTGAATAAAACCTCATTCTGGGATCTTCTGCTGTTCTTGGACTTGGAAACTGACCTCAGATTCACTTTCTTAAGATTTTTTTCTTTTTTTTCCCTTCTATTGGTGATACTAGAGATTAAACCTAGGGCCTTCCACATGCTAGGCAAATGTTCCATCACTGAGTTAGATCCCTAGCCCCCCTTTAAAATTTTTAGTGTTGGTTGATCATGCATTTATGGTGTTCCTCTTTCAGTCTCCTACCTAGCTTGGGCTGCAGATGTTTTTCTGATGGCCGTTTTCTTTGCAAAACTGAGGTCTCTACTTGCCTGTCTACCCTCTCCTCCCCATCCCAGGCACACTGCCTCTTAAAAGTCCCTGTAGAACCCCTGCATTTATCTGTTTTGGTTTTTCCTGCTGTACTGTGAGCTTTTGCTAGGCTATGGCTAATCCTTCAAGTGTGTCCTGTCCAAGCTCTGTGCCAGCCCTTAGGGGATACCAAGTAAATAAAGATACCTGATATTTCTTGAGCACTTGGCATTGGACAGAATTTGTTACAACGTACTTTTGTTTATTGCTTTGGGTAGACTTTATTACTCTATTTTATAGATGAGAAAACCAAGTTTAAGAGGGGTGCAGCTGTCACAATATGGGGCCCAAAGGGATCCCTCAAAACAGGAGGAGATGGGGGCCTATCAGCCTAGTATATTCTTGGCTCTCTTCAAGGAAGAAGAGTTAGGATATGTCAGTATGAGGACCAGGTAGGGTTATTAGGCAGTTAGAGACCAAGGGCTAGGATGAAGACAAAAGCTTGAGCCAGTGGAAGGTGGCACTCACATGTCTTTTAGAACACTGTTCTCCCAGGAGACAGCGGCCAATCTCAGGGCTATCTGAGGTGGGCCAGTCGAGCATCATCTTGGTTCTGGCAAGGGGATTCTTAGGGCTGGAGGGACCCATGGTTGTCACCATGAGTCTGTTCTTGCTGGACAGGGTGACTGTCCATCGTGGGGAGACTGCGCCTGCTCCTTGGTGGGGAACGTGCCATTGTCCTTACAGGTTTGGAACCTTACTTTCCCGGTCATCCCCCACCCCCCCACCCCCGCCCCAGATCTTTCTAACTTCCTTAAAGTACAGCTCAAAAGGGGGCGAGGAAGCTGGCAGATCCTTACTTTTTTGCCCTTTGAGCATGCATCTGAGTTCGATCATCGGAGAGCTCATTCGCTGTTTGCAGGCTATGTAGATATGTGTAAGAGCGTACACAGCTACCTCGCGTCCCGTGAGATTTCCGTACACAATCCTGGGTATCCCAAAGACAGGCACAGGAAGGAGAAGTGAGGAGACAAGCTAGGGCGCTCCTTCTTGCTGAAGCGCGCCGCGGTGCGATTTCAGGGCGCAGGTCCAAGCACTCCACGACGTCCGTCGCCCCCGGGTTGCAGAGGCTGAAACACAGCGAGCCCGCGCATGCTCCACTCCCAACGGGACCGGACTTCCGGCGCGCTGACTCCGCCCCAGGTCTGGGATGGGGCGGCTCCGGGATGAGCTTCTAATCAACCCGCAGCCGGCCCTGCCCCAGACTCCTTGGCACCGTCCTGGACCGCAGCTTTCTCTGATTGGATATGGCTGCGCTCAGCCGGCCAATGGAAAGACGGCGTTAGGTTCCCGGAAGTGGAGGCGCTTTTGGAGCGGTGCTTGCTTGAGTTTGGGGGGCTGATTTGGGGTCCAGTCCTCGCGGTTACAATGAGCTCCTTCCAGGGACAGATGGCCGAATACCCAACCATCTCCATAGATCGGTTCGACAGGGAGAACCTGAGAGCCCGTGCCTACTTCCTGTCGCACTGCCACAAGGGTGAGTACGCCTTCCTCGGCTCCTCACCCCCTGCGCAGGGCTGGCGAGGGGGTTAAGCAAAGGCGTCGGCCGGGAGCCCACGAGACCCGCGGCCGTGGCCAGGCCTGTGCGGCCCGCCTGGCGTAGACGCCGGCAGCACCCCAACTCTGGCTAGTGTAACCAGGCTCTGTTCCCAGACTTTGCGGTAGGGCCTCTAGGTGGGGCCAGTCGGAGGCTGGTGAGGGTTAGATCAATCTTCCGCATATTCCTCTGTTCCCGTTACAAGTGTGAAAAAACAGGTCTCAGATCAATCTCAGACTTCTGTTTAGGAAGTGCACGCGCACATGCGCACCCATGCAGTCAAATTAGACAGCGTGAACTTGACCTAGTGCCGTTTCCCTGCCCTTAGATCGTCTGTCTGTGGCCAACACGAAATGTCTCTTTTGCTTTAGGACAGTGGGATGCAGGTGTACCTCGTCGATGGGGCCAGGCAAGCAGAACACGGTACTACAGTTTCAAAGGTGGACACATTTAGGGTTGTTTAAGGGTTAAGTCCCATCCTAGTGAGACATGTTTGGGGCTAGGTGCTCAGTCCAGGAAGTAGCCAATGCTCAGAGCTTGAAGAACAATTTCACAACCGATGCCTATTTTGGAAATCGATAATGCCAACAAATCACCACCTTTACCGACAAAAGTTTTGTAGTTCATTGTGCTAATCAGTGCCACCGTGGGCACGCAGCAGAGGTAAACCAAAGCACCCTAACAGCCCCAACTTCTGGTGTCCTCCAGAATAGCTGGGGTAAAGTGTTCCCAATCCTTAGGAAGGCTGACTCATGTAATAAGTCCACGTGCACACTCACGTAACAAACTCCACATGCATACTTGTATGTGGAGAATATTTTAAAGTAAATGATGGATACCAGAGTACTGCTTGTTCTTACAGGTGGGTGTGAGGATCAGTTATTGTCTTGCATATGGAGTCACTTTAAACTGGTGTGGATTTTTGATGCTGCTCCTTCTGGAAAATTTTGTTTTTTTTTTTAGTTACTGCCAGTGAGGAAAAACCTGAACTTCTCTTTATATCAGCCAGAGAGCACTTTGAGCCTCTTTGATAGTCTGTTTATTCTTTTCGTTTCGTTTTTTTATTTTTAAAAATTAATTAAATAATTAATCATTTGTGGAAGTCTGGCTTTGTAATCCACTCTGGCCTTGAACTCATTATGTAGCCTAAGTTGACCTCACATGGTGATCTTTCTGCCTAGTTTCTCAAGTGCTGGAATTACCTGTGTGTGCCACTTTGCCCTCTCTGCTTATTTAATTTTTGGTTTTTGGAGACAGGGTCTCACTATGTAGTTGAGGCTGGCCTATGCAGCCTGAGCTGACTTTAAATTTGCTGTGATCCTCTTGCCTCAGCCTCCTCAGTGCTGGGATTACAGGCTTGTGCTGCCATAACTGGCTTTATTTTTGAAAGTAGCATGTTTGGCTTGGTTTGGTTTTTATTAGGAAGCCACTTCTGAATGAGAGTGCCTCTGCTTTTACTTTGCTGTGTTGAGCGTCTGCACTCAAAATGTAATAGCTATGCTTGGTTACTTTTCCCTCGTTGTTGAGACAAAATACCTGACACTCAAAATTAGGGAACAAAAAGTTTATCTTACAGTTTTTTTTGAGGCTTCAGTCCATATTCAGCTGGTTCCAAGGCAGGGTGGCATGGCTGAGGGGCAACCATTTATGGCAGCTGCGAACAGGGCAAAAGAGGAAAAAACAGGCCTCCTTCCCTCCTTTATATGGTACACTGGCTCCACCCCTGGGCAGGTGCAGCACTCACACTGCTGATTTCAGTGCTAGACAACGGAATCAATCACAAATGCTATATTCAGCCACCTGTATGACTGCATGAGGTTTGGGGGGCTGCCTAGATTCAAACCATAACCAGATGTTAAAAAGCACATTCTTGGACACATCTGTAATGATAGCCTTCAGAAGGCTGAGGCAGGAGAATTGAGTGAGTTTGAGGCTAACCTGGGCTACATAATTGAGTTCAAGATCAGCCTGCACTGTCTGAACTGTCTGGAAACCACCACCACCAGACAAACAAGAAAACACTCAAAAAGAACATTCCTTAGACAAATTAAACTTAGAATTTCAGCTAAGAGAAACAAAATACAGTTTGTAAATCAGGCAGGTTCTGAGAACTCCAAGTAACTGATCTGTCAGTATTTATAGAAAAGCAGAAATAACATGAGGAAACAGCTTACTTGGTTGCAGCTTACTCAATGGCCCAGTCAGTGGATTACAGCATAATTAGATGATTATCGGGTCTTCTGTGTCCAACAAAGCTCAATTACTGTGATGAAACTTATTTTCTTGAGACAGGTCTTGCTATGTAGTACAGTCTGGCCTTGAACTCAACAGAAGTCTTCCTGCCTCAGCCTCCCAGGTGCTGGGATTACAGGTGTGCACCAGGCCTCACTTACTGTGATTAAACTTCATATTTCTTTGGTTTGTTGTCACTTATTGAATCAATAGCCGCCTGTGAAATTCATTTAACATAGCAATGATGGTATAGTTTAGGAGCTTGCCCTTCCTCTTTGGGATTAGTGAGTCTGGAGAAGGAATTCATCCAAAGGAATTTGTGAAATCACCGTGTGTACATTAAATGAGAAATTGATTCTTCCTGCTGAGGAGCTTTATATAAGAACTTTTCGGGCTTTCTGATCATGTGTATTCAGCCAGGATGTAAACACAGCGGGGCAAGAGCTCATCTTCTGCTTTTGGAGGTGTCTCGCATTGCTTCTTATGGTTTTGGGGACATAAGTGTTCTTGAACTGTGCTGTGTTCAAGCCCTAGTCTCTGTATGACTGTGTTTGGAAGTGAGGCTTGGGTGATTAGGGAGTCTTAAGAGACAGAGCTGTGCTGAGCACCAGTGCTCCAGAAGAGCATCCTGCCTTGGCCTGATCTCAGGCATCCCAGCTGTGAGAGAGAATTTCTGTGTTTGTGGCCATCCAGCTTCAGGTATTTCATCATGGCTGAACTCACTAATGCAGAGTACTTGACAGCTTAAGGATTCTTCTGCTAGGGAAGAAGGCACATAAACATGTCAGCATCACTTTTAAACATAACCTTGAGGGGGCCATGGACTGCTTGGACCCAACACTGAATGGGCCACTCGGATGGGCCTCACTGAATGTTAGTGGATGCAAAGAGAGAGGGTGTCCTGGGTGTGAGACGGGGCCTGGCATTGATGAAGACCCTTTGGAGGATAGTGGAAGATGATTTCTTTTAGTCCAAAGGAAAATGCCCTGCAAAGCAAGCTCCGGATGCAGTTAGCTGAACTTGGCTGCGCCCTCCTGTCCTCCAGCTAGGAAGGCATTGAGGGTGTAGGGGCGGGTTCCAGTGCCACAGGCACAGGGGCAGCTGCTTAGGTGGCCTGGGGCATGAGCAGAGAGCTGACGCAGCCTCCTTTCAACCCCAGTGAAGACTCTAGAAACTGCACCTGGGAGAGCTGTGCTCTGGGACACTCCCATAATCACTCAAGCCTGGACCAGCGATGACCTGAGGGGAAGTGATCCCCGGTGGGGCAGGGAAGGGGTGTATGTGGTCAGGGGCTGCCAGGTAAGGTATGGCTGCCTTGTTTTCTCTTGTTTAAAGATTTCCAATTATAAGCAGGGTCTGCTGGCATACACCTGTGATCTCAGCACACTGGGAGACTGAGGTAAGAGTATTATTGAAAGTTTGAACCCAGCTGGAGCAGCTTAATGACTTCGTGAGATCCTTTCTCAAAATTTCAAAAAGAGATGTGACAGCTGGGGATTGAGCTCAGTGTGAAGGCCCTGTGTATTTAGGTCCCCTCACCCCATCCCATAGGACTCCCCAGTTACAAACTGAAGAAGGTGCACTTGTGCCTGGTGTGTGGTGTGTAGTATGTGTGTGTGGTGGTAGCGGTAATGGAATGACTGGAATTGGTTTAATTTAGAAGTATTTGCTCACTGATGCTCAGGCCTGTACATGTGAAGGGTCTGGAATGGACGTGCATACCTGTATGCTGATGGATCTCAAGTCTCACTGTTAGCATCTGTTCACTCAGAGGACTGTGGAATGGGTGTGACTAGTGACCCCCCACCTTTCTGGCCCACAGCCATGGCAGGTTGAGGAGGTGATGAGACACTGATGGAGTCCACTCAAATGGTGTCCAGCAGGCTCCATGGAAATAAGCTTCGAAGCTCTGGACAACTCACTTGGGAGGGCAGGTATAGGTGGATCAACGCAGCCTTGGAGAAGAGTGGGCAGCCAGCTGGCAGTGGCTGTGCCCCCACAGTGGTACTGAGCAGGTTAGGCTCCTCATGGGGCCGCTTTGTAAATTGCTTTTGGGGGCTCAGGCCCAGGCTCTTGTCCTGTGCTCAGAAGAGCTCTGCTTACAGGAGAAGGAGCTGGAAGCCCCGTGTGTCAGCTTTCCTGGATGTGGACCTCATGTATTTCTCCCAATTGGAACCTAAAGTTTTTAAGAGACACCTCAGTTTCTTTAGACTAAGGAATTTTCTGGAAAAACAAAAAATGTTTATGATTTTCAATTCTTTCGTTTTTAGATCACATGAAAGGATTACGGGCCCCGACTTTGAAAAGAAGGTTGGAGTGCAGGTAATTATTTTACTACTTACTGTATGGGGGGTCCATGTGCTGATACAGACATTTAAATTGAGAGAACAGAAAGCAAAATGCACACATACCACAGGCAGGGGATGGCAGTGAGGGAGCCCAGCGGGTGGCTGGACAGACTGAGCAGGACTCTGTTCTGACTGTGGTCATCCTGCAGTAGCTGACTTGGAACTTCACAGGAGTAGATTCAGACCAAATGGGTGCTCTTACATTGGCTTTCACTCAACATTGTATTTGTGGGATTTACCCATGATTTTGGCTGCAGCAATAACTTGTATGTTTTCATCCTGCCAGAGGGTGTGTGTAAGTAGCTTTCCCATTATTAAGGGAATGTAGTATCTTTGCATCTTTTCTTAAAGCTCAACTATTGAGTTCTTTTTCTTTAGCTATTGCCTAATTCTAAATTTTCAATTCTCTGGATATTCATTTGGAAAGGCCCCTGTGGTTTTTGAACCAGAAGCAATTGAGTGTCTTGGCTAATCAATAGCAGATAATGATAACCAGATAATGAACTCTTACATTACAAGGCACTGTGAATTTCATTCTTTCTTTTCTTTTTTATTTTAAAGATAGTAAAATCAATCAAAACAAAGCAGCAAAATTGGTACAGAACTTCAAAGCAGGATACTAGAAAAATAACCACAGCTACCATAGTCTATCTTGTTATCTTCACAATAGTTGTTCATTCCATCAGGTCTAGCAAAATTGAACCAAAAACAAAACAGTAAAACCAATCAAAACAGAATACTGAATAAAGCACAATAATCAGAACAAAGCAAAACAGCAAAAACAATATTGGATTTCAAAGACAAGATAGAAGGAAATCCCCCATATTTGTATATTACACTGTCATCCTCTCAAGAGATGCTCAGACTGCTGTCTCCAGGCCTGCAAAATCAACCCAACAACATAAGCATTTAGTTGCTTTACGTACCTTAGTTGCTATCATCTCAGCCTGTCCTCCAAACCAGCAGTTGCTTATGGTAGGGGTGTTTGATTCTCAGCCTGTGTACTGGTAGGCTCCTGGGAGGTGCTGAATTTTCTCTTCCTGGGAGTGACATAGCTTGCACCGCAGACCAGAAAAGCTGGCTGGTTGGCCTCTTGTTGGAGCCTCCCAGTCCCAGCATGGCCAATTCTCAGGCCGTGCTTACTTTTCTTGGCATTGTGAGTTTCTTAGTGCAGGTGTTTTGCTGAGTGCCTATAATGGCTGTGGTAGGACCTGATGTTCTCATTAGAGCCTCTTAATAACTGTCAAAGGGATCCTGTTATTTCTGTTTTACAGATGAGGAAACTGGGGAGCCAGAGTGGTTAAATAAGTTGCCCAGTGTTATGTAGCCCATCATGGCAGGGTCAGGGTTTTAGCCAGATCTGTCTGATTTCAGAGCTCTGTGCCAGCTGTCCATTGCTGCGTATCGAATCACCTCAAAGAAAGCACCTTAAAATAAAACAGTATTAATCATGTGAGATCCCTCAGTTCCTGTGAGTGAGAGATTGTGACAGATGGTTGCTTCCTGCCTGCCTAATGGCCGAGGGGGCTGCAGTTATCTGAAGAGCCACTGTGTTCCTGATACCTACCGAGGCCAGGACAGGTTTACTCTCTGGGCTTGCCTCTGTCTCGAAAGTCTCTTAGGGTTAGTAGTTTGAGATAGTGGACTTTTTGAATTTATTACTCCATGTTTGCATGTATGATGTTTATATCCTTGTGTGGACTTGGTACATGCAAACTGCACATCTTAATTCCTTTTATCATCCCTCCATCTCTTGATCTCTTTCCTATTTGAGAAAGATCTATATCCTTTCTTCATACTACCTTTTTCTTTTTTCTTGCCTTTTGTTTTTAATAATTTGAGTTTCTCATGTAAGAAGCTATGTGATATGTAAGTGCCTCTGCGTTAACAAGTGTAAACCCCACGAGGGCCAGGGCAGGTGGGCTTGGTAGAGGGCAGCCCCAGAAGGTCCTGGAGCTGCTGCTACTACAAGGATCACTGGGTACCGGTGGGGAGCCTGTGTCCCCTCCTCTCTTTGGCAGATTGGAGTGCTGTTTGTGAAGACCTGCATAGCTGAAATGTGTGGCAGTGTGACTAGCTTTGGAAAGCATGATCAGCCACACTAGCCTCTAAAGCTGCACTATTGAATCTTATGTTTATTATGAAATTAATTTTTGTTCACTAAAAATATATATGTAGGAGGTGAGAGTGTAGCTCAGAGGTGGACACTTTCTTAGCATGTGCAAGGGCATGGGTTCAGTCCCCAGTACTGCAAAAAATAAATATAAATACAGTGGTTTCACATAAAGCAGAAGTTTCTGTTGCCAACATACCTTTTTCTGTTGTTCATTAGTAGCTTAATATGTGGTAGTCTCCGTCTACCAAGTGGTGTACTCTATGTGTGCATGTGTATTTGCTGGGGATAGAACCCAGGACCTCACATGAGAGATGAGCTCTGCCACTTGGCTTCAACCCAGGCACTGATGTATGTTTTTAACATAAGAATGAATCTCTTAGGGGTCTGAAGACATGGAGACACCCCCCGTGCCCTGAAAGGTACTGAATGGTGGGGATCAGTATCTGGGTGTGATTATCACACATTTTTGTACCAGCAGTTTTAGAGTCATTGTGGAAAGCTGTTGGTGAAACGCCTTTCTCTGTCACCACCAAGCTCATCTTGAGTTGCACTGAAACTTGTTTTTTGTCTTTTCCTTTTAGCTTGAAGGTCCAGCTGTACTGTTCTGCTGTTACTAAGGAGTTGTTGTTAACTAGCCCGAAATACAGATTCTGGGAGAAACGAATTGTAAGTTTTATTTTTTACATAACATTAATTCTTTGTATAGGTGGGAAGTATTTTTGGAAGGAGATCGAAAGAAGCACTGCAGTGTTCTCAGGCCAGCCCCTCATATCCGTCCCACATGGCATCGTGTAGAATAGCAACATTTAGTCTTCTGCAGTTCAGCTACGTGCGTAAGGTCAGTGTTTGTTGCTAATTTCTTTTTCTTGTCTCTCAGAAGTTTGATCTAGGTCTTTAGTTCTGTTCTGTTTTTGAGACAGGGTCTTGCTGAGCAGTTCATGCTGGCCTTGAACACACTTTATTGCTCAGGCTGGCCTCAAACTTCTGGCGATCTTCCTGACTCAGCCTCTGCGGTGCTGGGATTACAAGCATGCACCTTGCTAGTTCTGGTCATTTAATCTCACGGACTCCAGCAAAGATACATTCTGATATTTTAAAGTGTGAATGGCACCAGCATCACTGCTTAGTCTTTTTATTTAGATCATGGGCTGAATCAGGAAAAGTAAATGTAATTTGCTGATAAGAAATGGCAACAAACAGAATAATAAAAACTGAGTAGGTAACTTCCAATTAAACCAAAGAAAATGGATCTCTCCAGTACAAGGTAGTAAAGGGGAGGATATGGAACAGAAATCTAGTGTATAGGAAATGCACCAGACTTGCAGAAAAACCCTATTATTGAATAGACTTAATTTCTGAAATAAAAATAAGATAAGAAAACCACAAATAAACAGGAAAAGGGGAAGACACACCAAATGGAAACCCAAGGGAGAAGTAGACATGAAGGCGAAAACAAAATAACACCACAGATAGAGGAGGATGCAGTTCGCTGTCGGGGAGTAGAGTGGAGATGATGGTAGCTCTGCAGCTGACAGAAGAATACTCCTGCACACATGGAGCAACAGTGGCCATGCCGCCTGGCCAGCACACACGGGAATGCTCCGTGTCCTCAGCGGGCATGTCCAGCCAGACAGCCTACCCCTGTGCATCTCTAGCTGGGTTCTACAGACCAGAACCTGCTCCCCAGTTGTGTGGACCCAGAAACAATGCTTCAAGTTCAGACCAGTCTGAACTGCATAGCAAGACCATTTCAAAAAAAACCAACACAGTTATCAGAGATTTCATCGCTAAAGTAAGCTTCACATCCCAGTGGTTTTATATATGCTTTATACCAAGTGTTTAGAGAATAAACAATCACTGTGCTATACAAGTTGTTGTAGGAAAAACAGTACAGTAAATTGCCCAGCTGTGGCTGCAAAATAGATCATGTTAGTACATGGGGGAATTGCCATTTCATATATGAACACAGGGAAAATCCTAATTAAGGATTAAGGTTAGTCTTACTGAGTGGAACAGTGTTAAATGCTGCATCATGAATACACGGTTTTATTCTGGAAATGCACCGAGGCACTGTGAGTTATAATACCCTGGAAGGTTGAAATGTGCAAAACTCTTCCTTCATGAGTCACTTGTGGAATGCCTGTCATGGCTCAGGTAACAGACCAGCCTTGGGAGAAGGCATGTCCTGTATGAGGGGCTGACCTGGGCTCATTCTGCAGCTCCAGACAAGCACAGAACACAGGGCAGGGTGTTGTCATGGAGGGAGTGGGTGAAGGAGGAGACAGGAATTCAGAGAGGTAGAACAGCTGTGGTCAAGGGCAGATACATGGGTAAAGCATTTAATACAGGTTGCCAGATCCTCTTTCACAGATGTGTTGGTTTTGATTTATCATGTTTCCAAACTTAAAACACTTAGTACAGCAGACTCAGAAGTTGTTCCATACAGGTCCTGTGATTTCTGCACTTAGTCCCCTTGGGTCGTCCCCTTTCAGTGTTTGTAATGAGAAGCTATGCAGAACTGATCCCTGCGTGATCTCTCATCTTCACAGGTAGCCATTGAGATTGAAACTCCTACTCAGATATCTTTAATTGATGAAGCATCAGGCGAGGTAAGCGCTAAATATAATCTTACAGTGCTGAAATGATTGGTCTTCCTTCTCCTTGACCGTGTGCACTCGTGTAACTGAGTGTCTTGGTGTTGTGTGTTGCCTCACCTGGCTCTGGTCACAGGAGCACCATGGTGGGGGTGTTTGTCTCCCACACTTCTGGACACTCAAGGCCAGGCCCCAGGCCTGACAGGTCCTTTGCCGTTGGTTCGTGGATGTTTGTGTCTTTTCCTCCGTGTCCTCCCTTGGTGGAAGGGGCAGAAGGTCCCCTTCATAGGACACTGAGGCCACTTGTGAGGGCTCCACCTTCAAGAACTAATTATGCCAAGTGGCCTCTCAGGGCAGGGGTTTCAGCTTACATTTTCATGGAGCACATTCAGTCCCTAACAGTGATATATTCGTTTCCCATACCAAAATGACTGAATGGCACATTTTGTCAAAATTGCTCCCTTTTAGCATTATATGTAATGAAGGGAATGCCACTTATTGGTGGTATCACATGATACTGTCATCACATTTCAGTTATTATAATGCCCAGGATATAAACTGGTGCTTTTTGGGTTTTGTTTTTGGCTGAGACAGGATTTTGCTATGTAGCTCAGGCTGACCTTAAACTCAAGGTGATCCTTCTGCCTCAGCCTTCGAGGGTTTTTTTGTTTTGTGTTGTTTTTTGACAGTCTCACTGTAGTCCCTGTGAGTTACTGTGTAGCCTAGTTTGGCCTCAAACTTGCAGCATTTCTCCTGCCTCTGCCTCTCTAGTGCTGGGATGACATGTGTATGCCATCATGCCTGGCCTTTTTTTTTTTTTTTTTTGAGACAGGGTCTTGCTACAAAGCCCAGGCTGACCTCAAACTCACAGTGATTGCCCTGCCTTAGCCACCTAGTGATGGGATTATAGGCATATACCACTGTGCCTGCTGCTGGTACTTAATATTTTTGAAGCCATTTCATGCATATTATCATTTTTTTCTGAATTCTTTTCTTTATTTTAAAGAAGGTAGAATTAAACAGAACAGAACAGATCATAAGGAAACAATTTTAAGAAACACAGATTTCAAAGCAAGACCACTGAAGATCTTCACTGTCTATAATATTGTCTCTTGTTTTCTTCCAAATAGTTGTCCACATCTTCACACACAGTGAATACATACTGAACAATATAGTATTAAACTAATCAGAACAGGATGATGAAGGCTTTTTAGGTCTTCAGACCAGACAATATGGAAGTCAACGATGGCTGCCATAATGACTTTCGTTCTCTACGAAATAGCTGTCCATATCTTTACATATACTGAAATTAAACATAAGAGACTAGACTAATATCACTCTGAATAGTGATTAATAGTATTGCTAGATTTTCTCTCATAATGCTACAGAATTAGCACTGGGTTTCTTAGTGTCTCCTTCTGAGTATCTGTTCATTATATCGTGTATTATATAATCTGTTTTCGTAAACTGTTTAGAAATTCTATGCATGTGTGAATATATACATTTATGCATCCTTTCTTTATTATAGGGAAAAACATCAAAACAAGACAACAAAACAAATTCCTAGAAAAACATGAAAAAGACACATAAAACCACAATACTAGATGATCTACGGTAGTTACTATGCTGTCTCTTGTTATTTTCAATAGAATTGTCTATATCATCAGGCATAATATAATTGAACGTAGTATTACATAATAATTTTAATAAAAACACAACATTGGAGACATTGTAGGACTTCAAAAACAATAAACTGGAATGGGTATCTTATTGCATCTTGTCATCTTCAGAGTAGTTGCCTCTACTCTTAGACTTGATACTATCAAGCATACCAAATTCAAATAAAATCAGTCAAGACAAAACAGTGGTCTAACAAACCAGATTCAAATAAGATCAGTCACAGTAAGATAATCTAAGTAATACCAGGTTTCAGTTTAAGTTAATAGGAAATTAAGGATAGTTACCGTAGTATATCCTGCTATTTTTGGGATAGCTGTCTGTGCCCTAAAATCTAGTATGAGCAGACAGACTGAAACAGAGTAAAATCAAACTAAACAGAGCAATAAGACTGGCTTTTAAATCCATATACATTATTAGCAATGTCTTCTGCATTTTTTTAGACAATTCCTCCCCTTTCCCTTTCTCAGGGTGCGTTGTATATTTTGTGTCCCACTAACTCCTTTAGTTTTTAGATTAGAGGCACGACCCGTTATCTAAGTGGTGCTGAACCTTTTTATCCCTGAGCTTGTTCTTGAGCTGTATTCCTTTACCTATTAAAGCCTCAAGGTTTTCCTTCCTTATAGCTGAGTACTTCTCCACTGCACAAAGTGTCATGACTTTCTAACCTATCTGCAGCTGCTAGACGAGTTGTCCCTGTTTATCTCTGGTTCCCTGTCACATAGAGCATCATTTTCTCATCTTTGACTTTAGGTTTATTAACCCTGTTTCAGGTTGAGTATATTTCCTATTCAGAACATCTTGATGGATCCTATCTCCTGATCTACTCTGCCTGTGTTTCTTTTTGTTAGTGTATCAAGGTGATCTGTGTTAGAGATTATAGCCCACCTTCTCTGCCTCATCTCTGCTATTCTATTTTTCTGCTATTATTTGTCCACTTTTCTCCTTCATTCCACTGTCTGCCCTGTTCATTGAGGCCTCTCTGCCACTGTTGCTGGAATCCTGGTATTTTTTTCTATCTCTCTCTAGAATGTCCTTCAGTATTTTTTGTAGGGTTGGATTGGTGGTCACGAACTCCCGCAGTTCCTCTTTGTCATGGAAACATCTTGTTTCTTCATTAATTTTGAGAGAGATTTTTTTCAGGGTACATCAATCTGGGTTGGAGGTTATTTTCTTTCAGGGCTTGGACTACTTCACTCCAAGCTCTTCTTGATTTGATAGTTTGTATTGAGAAGTCTGTTGTGATTTTGATGGATTTTCCTTTATAGGTCATCTGTTTCTTTTCTCTGACCACTTTTAATCTGTTCTTGTGGTGAATTTCTGGAATCTTGATTATTATATGTCTGGATGTAGATCTGTTTTGGTTGTAATTGGCTGGAGTTGTGTATGCCTCATTTATCCAGATATCATTTTCTTTTCCTGTGCTTGGAAAGTTTTCCATAATTATTTCTGTGAATTATTTCTTTGTAATTCATTTGTGTTTACTCCTGCTTCTTTGCTCACGTTTTTATTCTTAAGTTATAGATTGTCTTCTAGCCTTTGTATTGTTACTTCCTGGTTCCTTGTTATTTTTAAGAGGTCTTTTCTTTCACGATTACACATTACAAATCTATCTATCTTTAAATTTTTTTGAAAGGCTAACTTTAGTTTCTGTTACGGCATTTTGCCAGCTTTCAGTGGAGTTAATTTCCTGGTAATCTCTTTGGGTCTGTTTCATGTATTCTAGATTTTGTTTATATTCTTCATCAAGGGTTTCTCTTCTTTTTCTGGGTTCCTCCATTCTTCCATCTGTGTCTTCTTGAGAGGGGCTTAGCATTTCTTTTATTAATATTTTATATCTTGCCTCACTTGGATTAGAATTTCAGTTTTAAGCTTGTCGATTTCCTTATGTCCGCTGATGCTGTGGCTGATATTGCATGATTGCTGCCCTGGATCTCTTCTGTATTTACCTCTCTTGGACTTATTTTCCCAGGCTGGAGGCTTTTTCTTATTTCTTTTTCTTGTTATGTTTCTGGTTTCTTTCAGACAGGTGTGTGCTGGAGGTCTCAGGCCCTCTCTGTATTTCTTGCAGTTTTTCTGAAGTGTGCTGTCTGGGGGCTTGCTGCCTTTTCCAGTTTGTTATCTGAGGTGCATGCAGGGATGATGTGGGCTAGCCCTTCTTCCCTGAGCCAGTCACCCGGTGAGTGCCTTCAGCACCTTAGTCTGTGCTGTGCGGATGTCACAGGTTCCATACAGTTTTGTCCCTGGCTATTGGGTCCCTACCCGGGGCGTGATCCAGCCCAGGCAGATCCCACCAGTTGTCTCTGGGCCAGGGGCGGCTGACTGATGCCTCTGCGGTTCCAGGTTCAGGCCTGCCCTGTCCAACTCCAATATGTCCTCCAGCTGGTCCCACCTGCTGTGGGACCCAATTTCCAGCACTCACTGCAAATTAATGCAGCCTTCCACCTTGGCTCCACTCTACGCTGTGCTGCTTCCTCCCACCAAGGGCCCTGGACTCACCAACTCTTGATTTTGGAGGCTGTGGCTTCAGTGCGACTTTGAATCGTCCCAACTTCACGGCCCCCCAGCACAGCATAGGACTGGTCTCAGTGAACATGTCTGGTTCCAGCCTTTCATCTGCGTTTTTCCTTCCTTTCTTTCTTTTTCTTTTTCCTCAGTTTCTTCCTGGGTTGTGAGAATCCCTCTCCATTCGTCTGGTCTTCTCTATGTTGTTAAATTCTAGCGTCTGAGTTGTTTTTCTCAGAGAGGCTCTCTACCCAGCTACCTATCAAGCCACCTTCTTTAGAACCTCTCCTGAATTATTTTCTTAAAAATAAAATGGCTCCTGAAGTACATAAAACTTATTTTTCATCCTTAAATTTAGAATTACTTGGTGAATATATTGTTTTGGTAGAAAATAGGACTGTAGATTAACTTTTTTAAGATGAAAAGCAAAACAAAACAGGGAACATAGTGGCTTATACCTATAATCTCAGCACACAGAAGCTGAGGCAGGAGAATCACTGAGTTCAAGGCCAACCTAGGATACACAGCCAAACTCTCAAAAAACAAAACAAAACAAAACAAAAAAACCCCCAAAACCTCTAGGACGCTTAAGAGGAGGAATTCTGCTGTTTCTGACAAGTCTGGCTCACCTTTGCTCTGTGGTCTGGTTGTGACATGGCTTTGATGCATTTAGGTCTGAGGCTGTGTCAGGTTGTATAAACATGATCAGCATAGAGATGACTTTCTCACGTATTTCTTCTTGGAAGATCAGACAATTGAATTATTCCTCTCATCAGATTTGTATCCCTAAGTGAAACTACAGAGCCAGTTTAGAGTGGGCTAGAAAGGAAGGAAAGGAACAGGTTGGAGGTGGCCTGAGGTCTTCTTGAGGGCTGTTCCAGAGTATTCCAGTGCAGGTATACTGTGGGGTTTTCTTGGAGCCAGCGGTGGGCAGTCTCACACACACGCATGCTCACACACACACACACACACACACACCTGCTTCAGTTTTGTGGCTTCTGTGCATCTTTTGTCCAGCCTTGGCCAAGTGGAGAGAGACCCATTTGAAAGGAGCCTTTGGAAGGAGTAATGCTGGCCTGGTGGCCAAGCGCCTGCCAGGCATGCGCAGGCCCTGGCTTCTGCCCCTAGTACTGTGGAGGAAGCTGAGAGTAGCCAACACTCCGAGTAGCTGGGGTCCCCTGCTTGAGGGTTGGGCTACACAGAGGTGTTTTTGTAACAAAAACTTCATAGGCCATTGGAAACAAGAACTCAATGGCTTTTGGTGTCTCTCTCAGGTGTGTATCTGTCTCCACAACCAGTGTTAGAATGCTCTTGCCACCTGAAGGAGAAACCCAGTAGAGTTTCCCTCAGCCCTGCTGTGCCCAACTCCTGTTTTTCCCGTGTGCCTCGCCTGTTCTGCTTCCTTCCTTTTCGTGGTGCATATAGCCCAGGGGCCTGCACCTGGCCCCCACCTGCTGAGCACGTGTTCTCAGGGCCCAGTCACAGGGTGCCACAGTGCTGTGTGTGTCATGCGGCTCGGTTTCTCATTCCTTCCTGTGGCCCTTTGCCTGCTGCGGTCTGCAGACTGCATGTTTATCCACTCATCCGCGGGTAGATGTTTGGATTGTTTCCACTTTGGGGCTGCTGTGAATAATTATCTTATGAACATTCATGTACAAAGTTTTGGGTGAACATATTTTCACAAGTAGAAGGGTCATTGCTGATTCCTGTGGCCACTCTGTTGTAGAGTGGACAAGGGTTCTGTTTGTGTCCAGTGTTTGGAGATGAAGGAAATGGGAAGAAAAGACAAGGTCCTAATGATAACTTGTTACTTTTTTTTTTATTTTCTTTTTAGAAGGAAGAGATTGTTGTGACTCTCTTACCAGCTGGTCACTGCCCAGGATCAGTTATGTAAGGGGCCTTGTGTATTTTGCTGTTTTATTATATGTAAATGTGCGTTATATTTGTAGAAATAAATTTTTAGGGGCTGGAAAATGATATGTGTGGGGAGATTTGACTCTTTCTGACATCGTCTTTAATTTTTGTTTGCAAGTTGAACGTGGGCACTGAGTTGAGGATCAGATTCTTGTAGTGGAGTCTTCATAGCTGGTTCTTCATGACTTCGCACTGTCTGGTCATGTGAATTTCTATCTCCATGAGCAGAAATGAGCTCAATAGATGATTCTGAGTGCTCGTGTATTCTGGGACACATGTATACAGACTCACCATGGCAGCTTTTTGTTATTTCTTTCTATCTCAGGGAAAAGGTGGCAGTTAGGTGCTAGGGATGGACTTAGAGCTGGTGAAATTTCTTTAACGCTGTGTTGTGATGGGTATGTTTGGCAAGATGTACTTGCTGTGCATTTAGCAAGCATTTTCTTCTTTAGGACTGATCTGAGACTTAACAGTCACTGAGGTTTATTTTCTTTCCAGGTTTTTATTTCAGGGTAATAATGGAACTGTCTTGTACACAGGAGACTTCAGATTGGCCAAAGGAGAAGCCGCCAGAATGGAGCTTCTGCACTCTGGAGGAAGGTACTAGGCTTTACGCGGTTCCAGAATCATATAAAGTAGGGCCACTTGGTGTATGAAGTGTTATTGGAGCCAGGTGTGAGGACACATACCTGCGATCCCACTTCTCTAGGAAGCTGAGGCAGGAGGATAATGAGTTTGAGTATAAATTGGGCAACTTCATTGGGCAACTTCATGGTGAGAATCTTAAAAAAAAAAATACAAAAAGAGGTGGGGAAGTATCTTAGTGTGAAGGTCCTGAGTTTAATCCCTAATACTGATGTTGTAGTCAGGGGTTGTACACAGAACAATTCAGATCAGGACATGGAGTTCATAATATTTTTATAATGGTCACCGGAAGTTAACGCAGGAAATCTATCCACAACACCAAAGACATAGATTATTTATTCAAGAGCCTAAACCCCACGGCAGTGTCCCACATGAGTCCAGATAAAAACCCAGAGCTCAGGACAGTGCCTCCCACGAGTCCAACTGGAGGTCCAGAGCCCACAAGAAGGACTCACACCAGTCTGTTTTACGGATCTGTGCCGGGAAAGCCCAGAGTCAGTGGTGGAAGCCAGAAAGTCTATGCCAGCAGGATGAAGGAGCTGTGCTAGTGGGATGAGGGTTCTTTTTTTTTTTTGGCCTTTTTCCTTTTTATTGGTACCGGGGATCGAATGCACGACTGCCTGCTTGCAAAGCAGGCGCTTGTGCCACTGAGCTAAATCCCCAGCCCCTGGGATGAGGGTTCTAGCTGGAACCGAGAAGTGACACTAACAACAAAGACTAGGGCTATCCTGAAAGGCACCACAGCTGTCCTTACTGACATGGAGGCCCCGAGCTCCTCTGACAACAAGCACAGTCGGGTACGTGCCAGGAAGCAGCATGACGAGTTCATCCTAAAGACCAAGCAGCATGTGTCTTCCCCTCCGGAGCCAGGAAGCAATACTCGATGTGAGGACCAGAGCTTCTCCAGGAGAACCAACAGCTCAGACAGTAACTCGTAGGAGAACCCACAATGCCTCCTTAACGCCTCAACCCTCTACACCTCCCTTCTTCTCCACCTGTTTATCTTGGCAACCCTCCTCAGGTGGAGCATCTTCGCTCAATGCATGCTGATGTAATCCAGCTGGTGTTAAGTTGACCACCAGTTCTTAACCCATAACAACTGAAAAAAAGATGCTGTTGCTCTTTTCCCACTGAATGCAAAAAGGAAGCCTTTGTTTCTAATAGAAATCAAACCTGATTACAATAATTCTGACATACTTTTTTTTGCTCCTCCAAGTCGAGTAATGGAAAGTTCTGTGTGTTGATTTGGGTAGTAGATCCAGAGTCATTGGGTCATTCTTGTGTGCTGTCTGTTGTGTGGAAATCATTTCTCAAGAAAGCTGATGAACAAAACATCAGGTGGAAGGCTGCAAAGTAATCGAGAGTTTACACTGCACATGTACTCGATGTTACTGTGGATGCTTAACACTTACTTTTTCTTTTAGAGTAAGAGACATCCAGAGTGTGTATTTAGATACCACTTTCTGTGACCCAAGATTTTATCAGATTCCTAGTCGGGTAGGTCTGCTGGGGAAGTGGGGACCATGGGGATGGCCAGTGCCTGGCTAGAGACACCTTGGTCATTGCTGTCATCCCTGATTGGAAGCCCACAAAGGCTTGGGAGTGAAGGGTGAGGGAGGGCTCATAAATGTTAAAGGTCTTGGAAAATCTCGTGCAGGAGGAGTGTTTAAGAGGCATTTTAGAGCTGGTTCGGAGCTGGATCACGCGGAGTCCGTATCATGTGGTATGGCTGAACTGCAAAGCTGCTTACGGCTATGAGTATTTATTCACCAACCTGAGCGAGGAGCTGGGGGTCCAGGTACAGTGCAGCAGTCTGGCTTCTGCTGTCCCTTCCACCCATACACACCTTTTCCCTCCTCTCTGCAGCCCACAGAGTTTGGTATCTCCTGCTTTCATGTCATCTCTCTTTTGAAGTTTTGTTGTCCTGAAACTATGGATTTTTATCATTTCATATTTATAAGTGACTGGATTTCATTATGGCATTTTTGTATATACCTGTAACATTTTTTGGAGAAGATGGAGTTTCTTTTTATTTGTTTTATGGTACTGGGCATTGAATCTCTGGCCTTTGCATTGATCCCAAACCCTTTTAAAATTTTCAATTTGTGATAGTCTCTCTTAAAGTCACTAAGTCGTCCAGCCTGGCCTCAAACTTGCAGTCTTCCTGCCTCAGCTTCCCAGAGTGTTGATATTACAGATACAAACCACTGTGTGCTGCTGAGAAGATGAAGTTTTGATAATGATGCTTAATCAAGTGACATCCTAGGACTAGCTGGATATTTACATTCTATTTAATTTTGTGCTCTTTAGATCCTCCAGCCCACAAACTTGTGCCAGGAACTATAGTTGTAGATAAGGTATTTTAGTAAAGTTAAAAGGATTTAGTTTTTCTGCAGTTTCAAAAGTTCCTCCTCTGTTTTCCCTCTCTCCTGTTTTATGTTATTTTGTAGGTCCCTCTTTCCTTGGCTTCTTGTTTATAACCTTCTGTATAAATGTGCTAGCATCAAGTTGTCCTTTCTCCACTTTAGGAAGGACTTGTCTTTACTTGAGATTGACTTTTCTATATTTTTGAGGTTAAAATTGCCTTTTAAATTAAAATCACCTTGGTGGTGGGTTATGTCCACACACTTATGCGTATGTAGATACATACACCATTTGGCTTTTCTGCTATGCCTGCCCTGTGGAAGTACAAAGCTAGCGATGACTGTCAGTCCCAAGCTGTTGGTGTACTTTGTGGCTTGTGGAGTAGAGTGTGCTGGGTGTTGTGCTTCAGAGCCCTCTTGGAGGGTGCCTGACTGGAGGGGGCCAGGAGCAGCTGCTTGGGGAGCCCTCTCTTAAGTCTAGGAACCCCTTTGGGAACAGTTTTGGATCAGTCATTTGTAAAACAGTGAGATCTCATTTGTAGAACAGTGAGATTTTTTGACTAAGGGACATAAGTAATCATTGGTAGCAACTTTTTCAGTCTTTACTTTTTTTTTTTTATAATGGGAATTGCCTTACCAGGCAAGTGCTTGAACCACTGAGCTAAATCTCCAGCCAGTCTTTAGTTTTTGATGAAACTAATTTTCTAGTCCTCTGTGTGTAATATCAGAAGTTACCCCTCTTCTTGAGAGGTCTCAGAAAATTAACTTCACTGTTGCTTCTAATTGATCATTAGTAAACAGCCAGCAGAATGGAACACAAGGAAGTAGCTATACTTGTATTTGTTTTTTAGATAGCCACCTTGGTTAACACTTATCATAGCAGCGAGGCATAGTGGCGTATTCCTGTAATCCCAGTACTAGGGAGAGTGAGGCAAGAGGATCACTACAGGTTTGAGGCCAGCCTGGGCTACATAGTGAACTCAAGGCCAGCTTGAACTACATAAGGGAGACGGTCTCAAACAACAACAACAAAAAAAATTAGCATAGCAATTTGACATTATTCTAACCTGTTACTCAGACATCAAAATGAGAATGCTTCCTTTTATTATATTTTAATCTTCATCTGAATTTAGTTACTTTTCATTTGCTTTGAATGGGTTTAAATGGATGGGTTTAATGCTTTAAAATGAGTCAGCCTGTAATCTAGGAGTGCCACAGATTGAGAAGTATTTGTGCCATCTGCTTAACCTAGTGATGAGAGTAGTGGTGGGGGCCCTGGGCCCCTGCTCCCAAGTACACTTTCTTCCCTGCTGCTCCTCTACGGTCCTTACACACCTTTGAGAAGAGGGAGGACTCGTAAGGCCAGGATTGAGAATAGAGCCTAACTGATACACAGAATGCGCACACTGAAGGTGCACACTGAAGGTGAATGGGACAACAGTCTTGGCCTAATTGGAGGAAGTCTGGGTCCATTGCCTCTTTGCAGCCTGGCAGGATATTAAGAAGCACTGAAGTGATGAAAACTGGGTCACAAGAAAGACAGGGTGTTAGCTCACTGCCTGTCCGCAGTGCCCGGGTTCTTAACCTTGGAAATCGCCTTCAGGTAACAGCATGCCTGCATTACCTTTACAGGTTCACGTGGACAAGCTGGACATGTTTCGAAACATGCCTGACATCCTCCACCACCTGACCACGCAGCGCAGCACCCAGATCCACGCCTGCCGCCATCCCAAGGTAGCTGCAAGATCACCATGCCTGTGGGCTTTCTGGGGTCTATGAAAGTCCAGTTTTAAGAAGAAACCTCAGAAATTCCACGTGGAGACATACCACTTTACAGACAAGAGCCCAGGCTGTGGTCAATCCAGAGTTAAAAGCTGAGTTCTATTAACATCTACCTCACTCACTTGTGTGGATACAAATCCTTAAAGTTTTAAAATCTGTTTCTATACATTTGAGAATGTAAATCTACTTGTAATGAAATTATGAGATGTAGCTTATAATTAAGTAAATTTACTCATAGATTACTGCTATTCATTTTTTAAAATTTTTATTAGTGCATATTTGCCGTACATAATGATCACATTCAGCATAGGGATTTTGTGCCTGTACATAGCATGTCTTAACTCCTCTTTTTTCCATTCCTTTCCTCTCCCTTTATGCTTCTCCCCTCCCCATTTACAAAAGGTTTGTTTTCATTTTTTCCTTCCATTCTCTTTTTTTTCACTTTTCCTCCCCTTCCTTTCCCTTCTTGTTTCCCTTCCCATTTGAATACCTTTCTACTTCTACTATCTGTCCTCCACAAGAGAAAGTGTGATATTTAAATTTGTGTGTGTCCAATTTATTTCACTTAAGATTGTGGTCTTGAGGTGCATTCATTTTCCTACAAATGATTCAAGTTTGTCTTCCTTTATGGCAGAGTAGTACTTCGTTGTACATAAATACCATTTTTTTTTTTTTTAAATCCATTCTTCTGTTGGTGGGCATCTGGGCTGTTTCCAAGACTCAGCTATTACAAATTGTGCAGATGTAAACCTGAGTGTGCATACATCACTGTAGTATAATACTTTTTACTCTTTTGGAAAGACATCAAGAAGAGGACTAGCTAGGTCAAATGAGAACTCTCATTTTAGTTTTTTGAGGAATCTGCACACTGATTCCATGGTGGGTATACCAGTTTGCACTCCCACCAATAGTGAGGAAGGGTTCCTATTTCCCTACCATCTCACCAGCATCTGTTACTGGTTGATTTTTTGAATATAGCCATTCTTTCTGGAGTGAGATGGAATCTCAGCATGGTTTTAATTTTCACTTTTTGAATGACAAGTGATAACCTTTTTTTGCATATGTATTTGCTGTTTATACTTCTTGAATTGAGAAGTGTCTGTGTGCATAGGATGCCCATTTTTGCATTGGGTCTTTAAATTTGGGGAGTCTTTTTTTTTTAATTCTTTTATATTCTAAATGTTAGACCTTTGAGGAAGATCTGGCAAAATTTTTTTTCCCACCCAGGGTTGTCTCTTCACTCTTTTGGGGGTTTATTTTGCTGTGCAAGATCTTTTTAATAATATGAGATCCCAGTTGTTTATTCTTTGTGGTATTTCCTTTGTGATTGGGGTTTTATTGATACAGTCTTTGCTTAACACCAGTGTCTTCCATCTTCCACCAGAATTAGTGTTTCTGTTTTAATAGTTAGATCTTCGAGGCATTTCGATTTTAATTTAGTGCATGGTAGGGCCTCGGTTGTCTTTGACATGTGGAAAGGTGGTTTCCTAGCACTATTAATTAAAGGGGCTATCTGTCTTCCAGTGAAGGTGTTCAGCCCCTTTGTCAAAGATAAGGCAGCTGAGTGTGGTTGGAGTTGTTTCTGCATCTTCTACTCTGTTCTACTGATCCTTAGATGTTTCTTTGCCAGTGTATTATGGATGTGTCTAGAGGTCTTCCCAAAATTTCATCTCGTCATAGGTGGGGTTTTTTAGAGGTGCTTGGATCTAGAATGATGCTGGGATTGACTCATGGTGCAGTGCTAGGTTTCAGAGCACAAGGATTAAGGGTGAGAGTGCTAACCACCCTAAGTAACCCGGAAAAGGTAAAAGGGACAGAAAGAGCTGTGGTCATACCTTGCTTGCTTTTGCTGTCTTCTGCTTGCCATGAACTGGTTCCGCTCTGTGATGCCCTTCTGCCAAGCCACCCTGCCTTGGAGCCAGCGAATTGTAGACTGAAACCTCTACATACTGAGCTAAATAAATCTGTTTTTAACTTTCAGTGTTGGATATTTTGTCTTATCAATAAGAGAAAAATAAGACACAATATTACACTTTTTATCGTGGTAGCTTTGTTGTATAACTTCAGGTTGGGGTTGTAATACCTTCCCTGCCTTGCCCTTGTTGGCCAGAATTGTTTTTGCTATTCTAATTCTCTTCGGGTTCCATATGAATTTTAGGATTGTTTTCTCTAGTTCTATGAGGTATGCTATTTGTATTTTGATTGGGATTGCATTAAAATCTGTGTAACAGTTTTTAAAGTATGACCATTTCACTATATTGGTTCTGCCCATCCAAGAACAGGGAATGGTTTCTGTTGTCTGATACCCTCTTTAATCTCCTTTTCCAGAGTACTATAGTTCACAATGCAAAGGTGTTTCACTTCTTTTGTGAGACTGATTCATGAGTGTTTAATTTTTCTTGATGTTATTGTGAAAGGTGTGGTTTCCCTAATTTCTCTCTCAGTGAGTTTATTTGTGTATAGGAATGCTACTGATTTTTGAGTGTTGAATCTTTTATCCAGCTATGCAACTGAACTGTTCAATCTATAAGTCTTCTGGTGGAAGTCTTTTTGGGTCTTCTATGTAGAATATCATGTCATCAGTAAATACAGATAATTTAACTTCTTCCTTTCCTGTCCATATCCCTTTTATTTTTCTCTCTTGTCTAATTGCTCTGGCTTATGTTTCCAGAACTGCATTAAGTAAGGAGTGGTAATAGTGAAGATCTTTGTCTTGCTTCTGATTTTAGAATGAAAGCTTTCAGTTTAGTATGATATTGGCTGTTGGTTTGTCATAGATGGCTTTTATCAGATTGAGATAATGACCCTGTATTCCAATTTTCTGTAGGGTTTTTTTTTTTTTATCATGAATGGTTGTTAGACTTTGTCAGTTAATTTTTCTGTATCAAGATGATCATGTGATTTTTTTTTTTTTTTTTTTTTTTTTTTTGTCTTTTTCATTGGTACCGGGGATCGAACTCACAACGGCCTGCTTTCAAGGCAGGTACTTATGCCACTGAGCTAAACCCCCAGCCCCGATCATGCGATTTTTGTCTTTGATTTTGTATATTATATTTATTGACTTGTATGTGTTATACCATTCCTGCATCCTTGGAATAAATCCTATTGGTCATAGTATGTAATCTTTGTGATGATTTTTTGGTATTCTATTTGCCAGTTGTTTGTTTGTTTGTTTGTTTTGTTTTTCCCTTTGGTACTGGGAATTGAACTCAGGACCTCACACTCGCCAGGCAGGCGCTGTGCCACTGAGCTATATTCCTGGCCCTATTTGCCAGTATTTATTGAGGATTTTTGTATCTGTATGAGATCAAACTCACAACCTCACACTTGCCAGGCAGGTGCTTGTGTTGCTGAGCTAAATCCCTGGCCCTGGGCTTGGGCTTTTCTTTGTTTGTAGTTTTTCTTTTTTTATAACTTCTCAATTTTATTGACTGAAACTAGATTATTTAGAATACTTATATCTTCTTTATTCACCTTTGGTAATTCATATGTATCTAGGAACCTGTCCATTTCGTCTCAGGTTTTCATCTTACAATCTAGGCTCTCAAAATAGATTGTGATGATCTTTTGCATTTTTGCAGAATCTGTTGTGATTTCACTGTTTTCATTCCCAATTGCATTGCATTTTCTTTCATTTTTTGGGATAAGGTTGGCTAGGAGTTTTCTGTTTTTACTTAATCTTTCAAAGAGCCAGGTTTTTGTTGTTGTTGTTGTCTATTGGTTTTGACACAGGGTTTCACTGTGCAGTTCAGGCTGGCCTTGAAATCACTTTGTAGCCCAGGCTGATTTGGAACTCACAGTGATCCTCCTGTCTCAGCCTTACAAGTGCTGGGATTACAGACAGGTACCACCACACCTAGTAGAACCAACTTTTTAATTCATTGATTCTTTGTGTTGTTTTCTTAGTCTCAATTGCATTGATTGCTGCTTTAATCTTTATAATTTCTTCCCTTGTATGAGCTTTGGGCTTGACTTGTTCTTGTTTTAGAGGTTTGAGCTCACTCCATTTTTTTCTAATGTAGGAATTCATCACTATAAACTTGTGTCATAGAACTGCTTTCATTTGTCCCATAAGATCTGGTATGTTCTAATGATGATCTTGTTTAATTGTGGAAACTTTAATTTTTTAATTTCATCTGTGGTTATTCAGGAGAGTATTGTTGAATTTCTATGTGTTTATTGATTTTTGTGGTTTCTTTTGCCATTAATTTCCAATTTCATTGCATTATAAGTTAGTAATATGCATGGGAGAATTTCAGTTTCTTTGCATTTACTTAAGCATGTTCTGTCAGCTAATATATGGTCTATTTTGAGCAAATCTCATGTGCTGCTGGAAGAATGTGTATTGTGATCTTGTGGGGGGAACACTGTATTATCTACTAAGTCCATTTGTTCAAAGGTTTGGTTCAGCTCTGATACTTCGTTGTTGATTTTTTAATCTAGTTAATCTGTTTGGAATGGAGTGTCAGGTGCTTATCTGAGTTTTCATAGCCACTAGTGTTTGTTTTATATAGCTGGGTGAGCCAGTTGGATTGTTCCTTTGACAAGTATATGGTGACTTTGATTCTTTTAATCAGTCTTGGCTTGAAATCCACTTTGTCTGCAATAGAATAGATACCCATGCTTTTTTTTCTCGACTCCCGTCACATGGGGTATTGTTTTCAATCCTTTGACTTAATCTATGAATTTCTTCTTAAATTAAATGTGTTTCTTGTATGCAACATATTGGTGGATCTTGTTTCTTGATCCGTTCTGCTAGTCTGTTTTCTTTGATTGTTGAATTCCAACCATGCACATTGATGGTTATAAGTGGTAGATATTGACTTATCCTTGTCATTATATTATTTTCTTGTTGGTTCCTTTCTTCCTGCTCTTGTATTTAGTTGCTTGCTGTGCTTCATAGATTAATTCTATTCAGAATCTTGGACATGTCTTTTTAAAGAATGTGCTTCAAAACTCTTTTGAGTGTTGATGTTCATGAATTTCTTTAGGTGTTCTTTATCATGGAAGTGTCTTATTTCTTTATCAATTTTGAAAGATAACTTTGCAGGATACATCAATCTGGCTTAGAGGTTGTTTTTGTTTAGGGTTTGAAATACTCTGCTCCTTGACTTAAGAATTTGTGTTGAGAAGTTGGCTGTGATTCTGTTGGGCTGGTCTTTATAGGTGATCTGTTTCTTTTCTCTAACAGCTTTTAATATTCTGTTCTTGTGTTGAATTTCTAGACTCTTGACTAGTGTATGCCTTAGAGTAGTTTTTTTCTAATGCTGCGTATTTGGGGTTCTGTATACATCAATGTTTTTGTTTTATTCATGTTTTATTACTTTTGCTACTACTACTTCAGAAAGTTGAGCTGGGTTGTTTTGGTTTCTACGACTTCAGTGACCCTTGGATTTGCCTTTGGTGAGTTGGGTAGTATGTTTCTTCTGTGCTTTTTAATTTTTTATTTATTTTTGTTTTGTTTTCTGTATTGAGAGATATAAATTACTTATGGAGGGTAACTTTATTACTAGTATCAACACTGGTTAGGGAAATGATTTTTTTCAGAGATTCACAGAATTCAAGTCGGACTTGGCCTCTGGTCATGTTGATGGGGCCTGCATCATTTAGCTTATAGTACTCTGGGTGTCTCTTGCCAGCCTGACCATGGCTCCCTGACCCTGGACATGTCCTGGGGTTGTCCCTCACCCAGTCACTGTGGTAGTTTAATGCCGGAAATGCTGAGATGAAGCCAACCCACAGGTATTCCCATTCCCAGGTCCAGTTGGCACCCCCCTACATGATGTCCAGCCAGGCACTCTCTGAAGGGTGCATGGCAGATGCTAGACTAGAGTCACTCACCAGCTTTTGCAGCGCACAGCATTTACTGCTCTGTGTGTATTTCTCTCAGAGGGACTTTTACTGTGTGTCTGTAGATTTGATCTTCCTTTCTCTTGCGATGAGCCAGGAGCTATGGAGAAACTGCAGCCTACCCTACTTTTTTCGGCGTTGTATCCCAAGTTATTTTCCAGTGTCTGGATTCAAGATCTTGGAGAGGCTAATTTATTGCCATTTACTGCTTTGTCATCATCTTTCTGGAAGTCTCAATTGTTACTCATTTGTGTACTTTGGGTATTTTTTGTTTTTTGTTTTGAGACAAGGTCATGCTGCAAAGTTCATACTGGCCTTGAACTCACTATGTAGCACAGGTGGGCCTGGAACTCAGCAATCCTTGTGCCTCAGTCTCCTGAGTGCTAGGACTATAGATATATGCCCCTACACCTGGCCCTACCGCCAGTTATTCTTTTTTTAATGATGCCACAAGTTAAGGAGTAAAGGACAACTCCAGAAGGAACATGGGCTGAACACAGAGAAGAAAGGACAAAAGCAAAAATAAAAGTGCTTCGTGAAGAGTGGTAATGGCAGGTACCTCACAGTGCCACAGTGTGACTGCCACAGCTCATGGGAACCCATGAGAAGTTCCACATACAGGCTCCTGAGAATTATCGGCCATTTATTCTTGAGATTCATGTGTACATTTATAAATTTTACTTTTTTTATATTCATTTAAAAAGTATTTAGATATAATTTCCTTCAGATTTTTGAGTTTTTTATGTTTTTATTGGTTTTTAATGACCCCAGAGACCTCTCCTTAGGAAATGCCAGAGTCCTGGCTTCCAGGTTGAATTTGCCTTTAACTCTTTTTTTCATCTTAATTAAGGCTAATTAGTTACCTTGAAATGCAATGGTATGAGTGATCATAAATTGTAGAATATCTTACTCTTCAAATTCTGAGTAATTTTTTTCAGTAAGTGTTGCATTTATAAATTTAGCTCCTCACTGTAATAGTAATATTAGTCCTGTTATCCAAAATCCTTTAGTTTGTTGGTCTTTATAATAAAGCATGATTTTATACAAAAACAGAATTCTTATCAACATGGAATGTTCTGCTTAAGGCCATTGCAGTAGATAGAGCTACATGTGAGAAATGACCTTTGAGGATTGGTAAAATACATATTTTAACTTAAGTGTGTAGATTTAGTCATTTTATGCATTTATATTTGTGTCTATATGTGTACTTGTCTTTCCTCATTATTGATAGCTTTGAAGAGTCTGAGCCAGTTGTTCTTTAGAATGTTTCTCAATTTGCAGTGATCCAGTTGGTTCCTCAAGTCTATGTGCTTTTCATGTCTGAAAACTGATCTATACTTGTTTTTGAGATACTGATTACAAAAAGATTTGTTGAAAATATATGTTTCTATATAAAATCTGTTCTAGGCAGAGGAGTACTATCAGTGGAATAAATTACCTTGTGGGATTACTTCCAAGAATAAAATTCCACTGCACACAATCAGCATTAAGCCATCTACCATGTGGTTTGGAGAAAGATCCAGGAAGACAAATGTGATTGTGAGGTAAGAGAACGCTATATGATCTTTCTGAGAGACTTTGGAGATAAAATGTTTAAGCTGGGCATGGTGGCACATATTTATAATCCTAGAAACTCAGGAGGCTAAAGTAGGAGGATCACAAGTGTAAGGCTAGCCTGAGCAATGTAGACCCTGTCTGGAAATAAAAACAAAAACCTGGAAATTCAGCTGAGCAGTAGAGTGTTCCTGGGTTTAATCCTTGTTACTGGAAAAAAAAAAGTTTGATGTAGTTTAATATAAGCACAGTCTAGCCTAAGCTCAAGAAGAAGATATATATACTATAAGCATGGGAAGTAATGTCTTTAATTGCGACATGATTTAAACTAAAGAGGTACTACTTAATAGCACAGTAGTCTGGAGGCCTCCGCTAGTGAGGAGATAGTCAAAGCCTGACGGCAACACAGTGCTTGACTGTGAGTTAAAATTGATGTCATAGAGATTAGAAGCCCTTGACAGAATGGAGGAGTTTCTGCACTCATCCTGCTATCTTAGCAATGTTCCCTGGCCCTGGGCTGTTTCATATGTCTACAATAGATTTCCCTTCCTGGAGAAAATTCAATTTTACCCCAAGAAGAAGTTCCTGATTGTAGGGTAGTTTCATACTGGACTAGCCTGACTGGGAAAGATCAGTTTAGAACTTAACTTACTTCTGTAGGTGACTTTGTATTTGTGTTTTCACTTCTCTTTAGGACTGGAGAGAGTTCATACAGAGCTTGTTTTTCCTTTCACTCATCCTACAGTGAGGTAAGAAGATCCTGTAAACTCAAATCAGTTGCTGATCCTTGGTTGGCCCAGAGCACACTTCACCATTTAAATCTCATTCCCTGTAAGTTTCACGTTAAGAGTTGGTTCTGATTTTGTGTAGATTCCACATTTTGGGGTTCGCTTACTTGCTGCAGTTTATCTGTAACTCCACGCCAGTGCTCCTGAGCTATAAGAGGCACTGCAGATACAAAGAGAACTGTGAAAGAATCTGGTCACCTGACGCAGTTCCCAGATGCAGGGACTCAGGCAGTGCTCTGCCACTCATGTCAGTCCTCATTCTGTACATGGGGCTTCTTTCCATGGTCTCTGGAATGCCATGTTTTTCTTGTGCCTTTGGTTGGCCATTTCCCCATATGCAATGATCCCGATGAAATGCTGAAGCACTGCGTAATGTGCTGAAGTGCACAAAGGCTGTGATGACTTGCAGAGGAGATACAGGATGTGGTCAAGAATGCAGTGAATGTTTAAATTAAAAATTACTACAGTTGGGCTGGGGATTTAGCTCAGTGGCATAAGCGCCTGCCTTGCAAGTGTGTGGTCGTGAGTTCGATCCCCGGTACCGATAAAAAAGAAAAAAACAAACAAAAAAAATTAATACAGTGAAAGCATTGCATTAAGGCCTCTGAAAAGATTCTCCTTTGCTTCCAACACATTTCTCCCATCATCCTTGCTCCTTCTAAAGCAGTTTGGAAGTGCTCTCTCCTGTGTGTCTTCAATTGCAATGTTCTGGCTGCCTCAATGTCCTAAATTGCTTCAGAACACATTTCATGTTTATTTTGGCTTTGGGGAAGTTACACGGCACCAGATCTGATGAAGAAGGTCGAGAAGGCTACACTGTAATGTTTTAAAGAGCCTGCCTTTCCATTAGATGATACTGGGCAGCAGCACTCACTGTACTGTACCATCTCATAAAGATCCTCATGAAAGACTTCCAGAAGTGCTTCAGAGAGTGGTAAGAATGAGGAGATGTGTGTTCTATTTTGAGGGGGATTAATAGCAATATTTCTGCTACTGTAATAAATTTAAGAATTTAAACCTCATTATTTTGATCAAATCACATGTTGTATAAACTTTCAGGCATGAGTTACATTGCTATTTGCTGTGAGCTCAATGTTGAATAAACAGTATGAAATGAGGTGTTTGTAAACAGAAACACACATAAAGCAAGATTATGTATTGACTGGCTGATGAAACTGGCTGATGTCCCCGTAGTTTTCAGGAATCTCACCCTGTCTTGCTTCCCCTGGCAGCAGTGGCTCAGTGTTTACTAATTTAGTGTTTGTGGTGACTTCATGGAACATAATTACTGAGAGTTGACAGTTACTTGTGTTAGGCTGGCAGTGACAGTCAACTTGCACGAAGAGAGGACAGTCCTCTGTTGGGTGTCTCTTGTCTCCTTGTGGCTACTTCCTATCTGAGAAGTAATGAATCTGGTAGGGTTCAACTTCATTTTCTGATCATTATTCCCTTCAAAAGCTTAGGTTTCTGTTAGCCTTGATATGGGGTTTGTTTGTTTTTTAGTACTGGAGATTGAACCCAGGACCCTTGCATTGAACTGCATCAGCCCCACCCCCCACCTTTTTTTTTTAAACAAAGTTTTGAGACAGGGTCTTGCTAAATTGCCCAGGCCGAGTTTGAACTTGTGATCCTCCTGCCTCAGCCTCCCAGAGTCTGGGGTTACAGGTTTGTGCCATGATGCCTGGCTTCAACTTCAATTAATTGTGGGAATCAAGTAGGTTGTAGGAAAGTCAGTGATGGTTTCTATTTGCACACCTCCTCTGAAGGTACAAAAAATATTATGAGAAATACGTAAAGGACAGATGATTTTTCCTTTTAATATGTGGTACAACAGTCATTTTAAAAACTAGAGTTACAGTGTTTGTTAATTCCTGGACTCTTACCTTTGGTGCTTTCGTTGGATGCTAATTGTGACCTTGTGTCCCAGTAATTTCAGTTACAGAAGGAATAACAATCTTGGTGTTTGCTTGCTGAACATTTACTCCAGGTACCAGTCAGGTGCTGAGCCAAACACTTCACATGTCCTGCCTGGTCAGTGCTTTAGGGAAAGAGTCTGAGACTTAGATGTTAGGTGGCTTTACTGAGCTCATGAGCTTGCCAAGACCTAGGAAGTGACAAAGTGGAGGTTCATTGTGGTCACAGAGCTGTTGTGAGGAGTCACAGAGCTCCTGTTCAGCACTTCAGACTTTGGCAGTAGTTGCATGTCACTGCTGTAGAGTAGAATTGCAGGAAAGGCAGCCCTCTGCATCACTCTTCAGCCCCGAGGAGGACTGGGTCCCAGCCTGGCACGCTTCCTGCTGGCATCCCGTGCTCACAGTCTGTCCTGTGAGCACCGCCTTCTCTGTGGGCCACATGCATTCTGCCTCAGCCTTGTGTCTCCAGACATCTAGACCCCACAGGCAACAGGAAGGGCTATGGTGGGGCGCCCTGAGCCAGCTGTGGGGAGACCCTCACAGCTGAGCCTGCTGGGTGGGCTCATGAGAAGTATTGTCCATCCAGGCTGACTGCGTTATGCTTTCCCTGGTGACTCCAGGACCCACATGTGATGACAGGATAGGTTAGAGTCCACCACCCCGTGCAAGGTCCATGACTAATGCAGTGTTCACAACAACAAGAATAAGCCACAGCAACAGAATGAGTAGCTTCCCAGATTCAATTCTAAGACTTTGTTTTCCTCTGTGTGTTAGTTATACACAACTATATTCTAGTTCTTGAAGGGAATTTGTTAAATGCAACTAACCTTTTGGAAGAAGGAAACTGATTTCAAATTTAAAATGTGAAATACGCTGGGTGTGGTGGTGCATGCTTGTAATCCCAGCATTTGGGAGGCTGAGGCAGGAGGATCTCTGAGTTAGAAGCCAGCCTGAACTACAAAGACACACGAAAATTTCAAAATGCCATTAATACTTAGCTAATTGGGAGGCTGAGTCAGGAGGATCCTAGTTTCAGGTCAGCCTTGGCAACTTGGTGTGATACTGTCTAAACCACATTTTAAAGGGGTAGGGTTAGCTGAGTGGCAGAGCATTTGCCTTCCATACCCGAGGCCCTGGTTCAATCCCTAGTACTCCATAAATACATAATAACTGCCTGTTTGAGTCCTATGAACTTCTACTGTAGAGTGGGGTCCCTGAGCGGAATTTAGATGCTAGGGCCTGTGGTAGTCCAGCAGGGTGAGGATTGGACAGTGAGCCCTGGGCATTGGCATTGCTTTTTCCCATGTGGACCCTATGGGTTGCAAGCCCAGAGAAGTAGAGTGGCAAAGTACTCTTCTCCTACCCCGCCCACCTTGGTCTTCTCTGACTGACATCATGTTCATCACAGTGGTAACTGAGGTATGTCATTCTCCTAGATTAAGGATTTCTTGAGCTACATTTGTCCTGTGAACGTGTATCCAAACGTCATTCCAGTAGGCACCACTCTGGATAAAGTCCAAGAAACGTGAGTAGTTTTGGCTTGTGGAACTTATGCTGCTTGCTCAGAGGCTCTTGGCTTGGATAATTTTGCCTGAAAGTTTATAAATCTAGAACCTGTTTCTGCTGTAATGTTTTTGGACTTATATTCATTTTTTTCCTTTCATTCATAATTGTGGCAGAATGTAGTTTGTCTTGAGTTGAATCCTGGCTCTGTTATTTATATTTAGTGTGATGTTGGCCAGATCATGTCTCCAAACTGGGCATTGATGTCTACTTATTTGGCTTCACAGGATTTGGCAATAATAATATGTGCCAAGTAGTTGGTCAGTAAAGGTATTTACTGAATGGACCCAGTACATTCACAATATCTTACTCTGTTCACCTCCTTTTTAAGTTTCGTGCACTCATGCATTATGTATTTTAGTGCCCACTCTCTGTGAGGCCCTGTGCTTGGGATGCATGCAAGATAACTAAGATATATCTTGCCCATAGAGTTCCTGGGTGTTTCAGAAAGGATGAGTGTCAAAGGAAGCATACCGTATTACACACTGCTATGGAGGAATCTGGCCTCATGTGAGGCATTCTGCCCAGATTTTGAGGAGGACATGCAAGAGCAGTATTTATGGAGTGAAATGTTCATAAGCTCCTAAGTCCTATCACAAGATTGGATGGGTAGCATAAGCAGTAACAGAAACCACAAGGACAGAGAAAGTTGCCAGGAGAGGAAAGGAGAAAAAGCCGAGGCCAGAACTCTGGGCATTGCCTGAAGAGGAGGGGCTGAAATGAGATGCAGGCAGAGTGGCCAAGACAGTGGAGGACCATGAACAGCCAAGTAAAGGGTGTCAGTGGGTATCATTTGAGAAGTTAAATTACATGGGGACTACAAGGTCTCCTCCTACCTTGATAACTAGGCCATTTGTGTACACTCAGAGCACTCTCAGTAGACATATGAGTTAGAGGCCACATTGCCATTGAGAAGTGGCTGAAAACAGAGGACATAGAGACTAATGAGATAGACTATTTAAAAAGTTTGGTATTATAGGAAGATTTTGATAAGATAGTAACCAGAGACATTAGAATTAAGAAACCTGATATTAACAAATAGCTGAGATAGGGGCTGGGGATTTAGCTCAGCGGCATAAGCGCCTGCCTTGCAAGCAGGCAGTCGTGAGATCAATCCCAGGTACCAATAAAAAGGAAAAAGACAAAAAAAAAAAAAAACCCTGAGACTTAAATATCTTGTGGAATTAAACTTGATTATACTGGGGTGCTTGTTCAAATACATACTTCCCATTCTTACATTTGTACCAGGCAATCTGTTTGTAGGTGGTTAGGTGGAGAATAACATGACTTTGAAGAAGTTACCAAGAGTGAGAATGACTGCAGAGAGTAGTCATAGAATGCATGAATCCAAGAACATTTGTTGACTCAAGAAAATGGATGATGCTGTGAAGTTGGGTGGCTGTGAATCAGTTACTATGGGGCGCTTCTATGTTCAAGTGGTATACTATATATAATCCTCCAGGCTGCTGACAGGCTTCTGCTGATGGCAGAAGGAAGTAGTTGGTGATCCAACTCTTCAAGTCTTGTTTCTGTGTCTTGACTTTGGCCTGCGGTTCAAGAATGAAGAGATCAAATTTGTGATTTTCTAGGACCTGGAAGATATAAGCAAACTCATTAAACAGGGAAGGGGAAGCAGTTAGCTGTACTGTAATTTGCTGAATGCCGAAAGGTGGCATTGTTAGTTAACAGTGTTTTAGATAGAGACCTACTATTCTGTATTGCATGAACAAAATTTTTCTTTGCTGAATATGTTGCCCTCAATCCTAACAGATAGGCTGTGTTGCATTTAAGTGCTTATACTCACTACTTTAATTAATTTGGTGCTAGGAATTGAACTCACGATCTCACGCTTGCCAGGCAGCCACTGTGCCCATGAGCTATATTGAGGGCCACTTTATTATACTGAAGTGATTTTAATTCTTAAACACTGCTTTTAGTTCTTGAAAGCAGTTGTATGATTTTCCCTATGGTCAGCGCTTTTGTAATCCTTACATGATGCTTACCTTCCAGCAGCTTTTCCAAAAAAGAGAAACTCAAATATTCTGTTTCATTTCAGCTTAAAGCCTTTATGTCGGTCTTCTCAAAATACTGAGCCGAAGTATAAACCCCTTGGAAAACTGAAGAAATCTAGAAGAATCCATCTAGATTCAGGTAAAATGGCCTTGGGTGCAGTGAGTGACTGCCTTTCGAGGTGTTATGGTCTGATGGACATGGTCTTTGGCAGGGTAGACGTGGCCCTGCTGTGCCCAGACTTGCCCTGTGATTTTCTTCCTGGGTCTCAGACTTCCTGAGAGAAGTTTGCTGTCCCTCGCAAGCATGCAACAAGGGTGAAACTCTCAGTTGCTGCAAATAGGCTGAATGTTTCCTTCATAATGCAAGTAAATGCTGAAAATGAAAACTTCGTTATTTCTCATCAGGTTAACCAGTAGTGTTACAGAAATGGATTTTCTCTATAATTTTTTGCCTTATTACTTTTGTTATTCAATGAAAAATAGAGGTAAGGCATGAAGCAGGAATCAGAACTTCAGATTCTGAGCAGAGCTGTGTGCTGCCCGAAAGCAGCGAGATTTAGAGGGTTGGATTCTGAATTTTCATCCCTTGTCATGAGGCGAGCAGGCAGTGACACGGTTTTCTGATGTGTGCTCTTAGTGCTGCAAGCTCCCTTCCTAAATAGCTTCACATAGATTGGCCATTTCATTTTGGAATATTTTGTATTTTTTTTCCCTTTGACACTGGGGCTATTTCGTTTACTTAGTTTCTGAATTTGGGGAAGCTTTTCTAAGATAATGCTGTTGTTCCTATATTCATTGTGGTCAGAGAATATTCTTTATGTGACTTTTATTGAGATTTATGGAATATGGTCCATCTTGGTAAATGTTTCATTTGTACTTGAAAGAAATACGTAATGCTGCTGTTGAGCAAAATGTTGCAGTTAGTTGATAACATTGTTCAAGGCTTCAGTATTCTGATTTGTTCCTGATTTATCTGTGCTGAATTTCCAATTACAGTTACTGAGTACATAATGAGTTTGTGTCCTCTTAAGGGGCTGACCCCTTTATCTTTAGAAAATGACTCTCCTGGTAGTATTCTTAGCTTTAAAATGCCCACCAAAACTCCATTTGCTTCTGACTACTATTAATAGCAGGATACATCTTTTCCATTTCTGTATTTTTAACTTGTCTTTAGAGGATTTTTGAAGACAGCATTTTAGTCAATCTGAAAATTTGTCTTTTCTCAATGCTTAGATCAACTAGGTTTCATGTAATTATTGATGGGATTAGGTTTAAATGTATTATTTTGCTATTCCATGTGTTCTTTATTCTTTTTCTGCCTTTTAGATAAAGTGAATACTGGTTCTCAATCTTGGTTCTCATATTGGTTGTAACTTTGTGTGTGGTTTATGTTTTTTGTTTAGGTCTGGAGACTGAATCCAGGGCTTCTGTACTGAACAATATTGCCGTTTTTTTTTTTTTTTTTTTTTTGTCTTTTTCATTTTTATCGGTACCGGGGATCTATTATGCTTGCAAGGCGGTACTTATGCTGCTGAGCTAAATCCCCAGCCCCTTGCCAGTTCTTTTTGAGATGGGGTCTTAACTGTTACTGAGTTGCCTAGGCGAGGCTCAAACCTTATAGAACTACAAAGATTTGCTGAGAAATGGGAAAAGGAATCTAGGTGTTTTACTTCCTGTGTGTCTGTGTGTTTAAATGGTTGAAGATGGAAATCATCCAGGCAGTGAACAGCCTTTTCTCTTTTCTATGTCTATCTTCAGCATTTACCCAGTACTCTGATCTTTCTGTGTCAAGCTCCCAGAATGCTGGGATTACAGGTGTGTACCATCATAGCCAGTTTATAGTATACATCTTTATGCAGTGAAAAGATAATTATACTACTACCAAGGATGGTATGCAACCCAGACATCAATATACTTCCATGTTTTTCTCTTCCAGTCTTTGGACTGTCATACATTGTACTATAAATCCACGTCACTTTCTGCTTTGAACTGTAACAACCTATGGTGTATAGAGATTTGCTTGTTCTGGACATTTCCTCTAAATGGAATTATACAACCTGTGGTTTTAATGCCTGGCTTTCATGTTTTCAAGGTTTCCCCTAGCTGTTACATGTATCAGTAAATTATTCCTTTAATTGCCAATCTATTCCCATTATGTGGGCATGCCACATTTTATCTATTCACTAATTGATAAGCATTTAGCATGACTTCCATCTTTTAGTTATAATTATGCTAAGAAAAGTACAAGTACCAGTCTTTATATAGATGTGTTTTTCTCTTGAATACAGTGATTGAATATGGGTCATGTAGTGTCTTACTCTGCTTGAGGTATTGTAATAAAATCTGGTTAATCTGGGGAGCTTAAATGGCACATCTGTTTCTAATAGTTTTAGAGACTGACACTCCAGGATGAAGGGTATGACAAAGTAGCTTTCATTGTGAAGTGTTTCATTTTGGCTTGTGTGGCTGCCCTCTCGTGCTTACACAGCAGTAGAAGAGGTGGAGTTCTCTGGTGTGTTACAGGAATTGATCCTCTTGATGAAGACCTCCCTTAAAGTTCCATTTATCTTTCTTTAGCTACTTCCTTGAGGCCCCATCTGCAGATTAATGGGAATACCATTAATGGGCATACCTTTTTATTCTTGAAAAAAAGAAAATAAAAAAAGGAATGTAACTTTTATGCATTCACCTCATCCACACTTGTTTTTGATGAGCAGTCTTTTTGGATCAGGCCACTAGCTTAAGACTCGTTGGCTCAATTTGTTCCTGACCCTCCTGCCTTTTATTAGCTTTGATTTTGTTCCTCCTAGATTCTTTATGCTTGTTCTTTTTTTGTTTGTTTGTTCTTTAATGGACAGTTTTTGCAATAACCTTTATAGCTTTTCTTACCCTTGTAGGGTATAGCTCTTTAAACATTAATGTTATTATTAGATGTTTTTAGAGGGCATTGTAATTATTGTTCTGAGGATGCTTCAATACTTCTGTCATCTCTAAAACTTTGTTGACACGTTTTTTAGGTACTTTACTACGTAGAATGTTCCAGTGATTCAAGCCAGTGTCAACTTACCTATCAAATCAGATTGTTATTGTCAACCATTCGTCTTAGCCTCTTTTAAAAAGCTGTGTTCTGTTTACCTCTATATAGTTTAATAGTTACCAGTATTATATTTAGCATTGTAGACCTTTTTATGAGTACTCTGCTTACAATACTGATACATACGATAATTTAAAAAAATAAAAGGTTACATAGAACGACACAGATTATTTTCATTAGCATTTTAATGTATTTCCTTTATGTTCAGTTACATATTGACAAAATTCAGTAATGATGTCCAGAATGTTTAAAAACTAATACCGCATAGGCTCCTACCAGTGAGAATAATAACTGTAGTGCTGGAGTAATGCCCTGATGTTCAGTTGCATATGACTCTCGAAGATGGACTGTGAAGAGGTTGAACCACAGCCTTTACGTAGAAACAAGGAAGTAGTAGACAGGAAGGATACTTGGGTGGGGTCTCAAGCTAAATACTATCTATAAAACTATAGGTGCACACATTCTGAAAAGCAACCTCTGTGTGTATGTCTATTTTTCACTGCAATCATTTTGTTGGGCAATTTTTGTGTTACTACTTCCCATGACCATCCAGTCTTTAAATTAAGAACATTTACTCTTTATCATACATTTTTGTACTTTATCATACATTTTGTACAGATAATTTTTGTACTTGTTTTACAAATAAGGTGATGAACAAACAAGTTTTGTAAGTCTGATATGCATCCCATACTAGGGTTGAACTGCAGCAGTGAAAATCCTTAATACATATTGCCAAACTGCTTTCTTGTATGATTTTACTAATTTTTCTTTTTTTTTTTTTTTTGGTACCGAGGATCCAATTCATGACCTCATGCTTGCCAGGCAGGCACTTAGGCTGCTGAGCTAAATCCCTAGCTCCAATTTTACTGACTTTTACAGACATCAGTATGATGGTAGAAACTGAGTTATGGCATCTATCCTTTTTTCATTGAGTCTCAGTGTTTTTATTCTTAGCATAATGACTCAGTAAACTTAAAAATATAGAAACTTTGTTTTTTAAGGTGTGTTCAAGTAAACAGATGTAAAAATGTTCTGATGAAGGATAACAACTGAAACATGACACTGGTATAGTCACAGACCCGAAAATAGAATTTTCTAACTTAAAAAGAATACAAAACCATTTTCTAAACAGATGACTTTGGTATACTAGTAGCAGAACTAAAACATAACCCATGGCTTAAGATAAAGCCTTATCTTGGAGATACTACAGTGATTCCAAATGCAGTAGCTAGACATTTTAGTCCCCTTAAATCCTTTAGCAATGAATGGTAAGATCAATTATAAACGCCAACAACAGTGGCCTTTCAGTTAGGTGTACTGGCATTCTATTTCTCTGGGCTTGTGTCTCCCCATAGTACAGTGGGAGCTGGATGACAGTCTCTAAGGTCCATTACAATGTAGTACTTAGTTTTAGGTCATTAGAATTTAACAGATTCAGTCGTAGAAGAGAAGTTCCCATTAAATTCATGGCATTAAATTTTCTTCAACACAAGTGTTAAAAGTGGAAAAATGCCTGGTCTCATCCTGATTCCTTGAGAATTTCACTTGCCAAATCAGGATTCCTCATTTTTCACAATTAAAGTGGACTGGGTTTATTGTATCCATAGTTAAGATGCAGGAAAAATTAATTTTATTGACTTAGTGCTTGACATTTAATGTGTCTTATTCATTATTTTGGTTAAAATTGATTATCTTGTGTGTGTTCCCCAAGTAATTGTCACAGCCTGTAATACAAAGTATCAATAAAATATCCACAAAGAGAAAACTTTTAGGAAAAAAGTAACTTATCTTTTTATTCAATCATCCAACTTACCCAGCACCTACTATTTGGAGAACATACAGGTTTTGGAAACCTGGTTGATGAGCAGAATACAAATCATGTGGTTCTCCAGAAACTAAATTTTTCACTGATCTACAATCTCCACTAATGGTGTGGCATTATAAAAATTCCAGAAGGATGAAGGTTATATTGTTCAGACTATCTTAAGAATGAAAGGCCTTTTAATTTCTAAGAGCAGCTTCCCTGCCTAGGGTTACTGTGCATTCCTATAATCCCAGTGTTCAGGAGGCTGAAGCAGGAAGATCATCATAGGTCCGAGGCTACATAGTAAAGTTCAAGGCCTGAACGTAGCAAGACCCTATCTCAAAGAACAAATAAACAAAAAAGGGGCCTCCCTAGTCTTTTCAATTCCAAGAATCAAAAATGTAAGTAAATCAAATGACTTCCTTTGCCTTGTTTCCAATAAAGTTTTGTTTGTCCCACAGAGGAGGAAGATGACCTTTTTGATGACCTGCTTCCAGTACCTTTAAAGCATAAGCTGCCATACCAGCTGACTCTGCATCCTGAGCTTGTCTTGCTGACTGCAGTGCCACAAAACCAGCCTGAAAAACTAGGACAAAGCACAGAATGCTCTGAAGTGGAAAGTGTGCAAAGCTCTCTTTTAGCCAACTTCATAGACTGTGAAGAATCTAACAGTGAAAGTGAAGAAGAATCAGAAATCTTAGCTTCACTGCAGGACCCTGTAATGCTTCCCCAGCAAAAGACTGATACAGATGTACCCCAATGGGAAGTGTTCTTCAAAAGAAACGACAATGTCACAGATGAGGGTTTGGAAAACTTTCCTTCCTCCACAGAAATGGGGAGATCTCAGTCACCCAAACTTTTCAGTGACTCTGATGGAGAATCAACCCACATCTCCTCCCAGAATTCTTCTCAGTCAACACACATCACAGAACAAGGAAGTCAAGGCTGGGATAGCCAGGCTGATACTGTTTTGCTGTCGTCAGAAGACAGAAATGGGGATACTGCCTTTTTAAACCAAAGTGCCCACAAAAAAGTCAAGGACAGTATACCTGCCTCTAAGATGGAAAAAGATGTTCTTTGCCTAAAGGATACTTCCAGTGATGTGCAAAGCAGAGATCAAGACATAAGCATAGCTCCTAGTGTTGGGAAACAAATACCTGAGGAAAAAAGGTTGCCAAATCATAGCACATACACAGATTCACAGAGCTCCTCTGATTTTGAAATTCCCTCAACTCCAGAAGCTGAGCTACCTAAACAAGAGCATTTACAATATTTATATGAGAAACTGGCAACAGGTGAGAGTATAGTAGTTGAAAAAAGAAAACACTCATGCTTGGATATTAAAGAAATAGAACACCCTGTTCTAAAGTAATGATTAAAAAACTTTTACAGGAAATTAAAGTCTACTATTTCAGTAGGTCAGGTACAGTAGAATTAAAGTTCAGATTGTTCAGGCACACTAGCACACACCTATAATACCAGAACTGAGGCAAGCTGAGGCAAGAGGATGGAAAGTCCTAGTCCTGCTTGGACAGCCTAATGAGATGCTGTCTCAAAAGAGCAGAGTTGAACCCAGTGCAAAGGTCATGGGTTCAATCCTCAAGACTAAAAATCCCAAAACTAAAGGCAGGCAATCACGAGGTAAATGGGGTGGGACAGCACATAGATGGCAGAACTAAATCTACATGTTGTCCAAAAGAAATTCAATTCCAATGCTATCTACAGATAAAAGGATGGGAACAAGATACAACATATACGCAATAATTAAAAGATGGAGTGGCTATATTAATGTCAGAACATTTCCTAATGATAAAAGGTCCAGTTCATTGAGCATAGACATACAATGTCTAAGCATTTAACAGCTTCAAAATACGTGAGACAAAAACAATGTTTTTAACATCCTTTTCTTAGATGATTTTGTTTATATACTATTTTCTTTTTACTAAGACTATAGAAGAACTGAACATTATCCACCTAACTAGATCTGACCGATGTAAGACAGCACCTAAACAACAGCAGAATACAGCAAGTGCATATGAGCATACAACAAAGACAGACTACACCGACACTTAAATTAGCATTAACTTGGACCTACTGCAATAAACTGATGGCTTTAGGGAAAACAGCACCGCATCCCAAAAGCTGTTGTATAGTTCTATCTCCAGCACCAAAAAAGGGGGAAAAAAAGCCATGGTATGAATACAGTAGTAAAATAATAATCCAAAAATTACAGTGTAAAAAGAAAATGCCTAATAATTAGATGGCTAAAGTATAGTATGTTCTGTGACTCCACATCTTTGAAGTTCACAGATGACTGTATGTGAGGATTTAATAAAATTTCATAATATATAAACACTTTGGTATGCTGACATTTCATGAATTAAGAAAAAAGCAAAAGCACTAATCCCTTATGCTCCTATGGAGTTTCACAAGTTGGAACCACAATTCACAGGTAAAAACAATGATACGGGGACTGGGGATTTAGCTCAGTGGCATAAGCACCTGCCTTGCAAGCAGGCAGTCGTGAGTTCGATCCCCAGTACCGAGAAAAAAGAAAAAAGGAAAAAAAAGTGTAAAAAACCCAAACAAACAATTATATGCACCATCTCCATGATGCACAGTAATTAGACCACAGTAATGAGTCACCCATAATACATTATTTCTAGATTGTGTACATTCACTAATACTTAAGACTTAGGGCTGGGGATATAGCACAGTGGCATAGCACCTGCCTGGCAAGTATGAGGTCCTGAGTTCAATTCCAAGTATCCAAAAAAAAAAAGACATTAATTTTATTTATTTTCTCGGAGATAGGGTCTTGCTCAGGCTGGCTTTTAACTCCCTATGTAGTCCAGGCTGGCCTCAAACTTTTAGTGATCCTTTTGCCTCAGCCTCCCAAGTACTGGGATATTGGTGTGTACCACCATACCTGGGGCAAGACAATTTTAATAGTATACCTTATGACCTAAGGTAGGTGTTCCAAAAATGCTTGTAATCATTTTTCTGGTGAATGCACATCTAGCATTTTACAGTTACACCATCATTTTTACTGTTTGTGTGGATCTACCACAATTCTGGACAAATGAAGGGCAACGAACACAAGAATATAATCAACATTCTTGTATTGATTATCAGACTTTAATGCAGAGGTTTAGAGCAGAGTAATAACTAACATTTTTATATACACTATCTATATCTGTACATATATATTCCTTTAGTCTTCACAACCCCTCCCCCCCCCCCTTTGAGGTAGACAGGAGATGAAGGCACACAGGTCAGTTCATGTAACTAGCAAAGGGGCAAGTCCAGGATTCAGATACAATCAACTTGACTTCAAAGTCTAGTAGCACAAGGCTGCAATGCCACTCAAAAACAGTATAAAAATGAGCAGTATTAATTGTAGTGGAGATCTGATTTTACCTAATGAATCAGAAGTGAAGAAGTGTTTCAAAATGCCAAGATACATAAGAAACCCAGTGTGTTTGCCAAAGAGTACCAAAATGTAAATGTTTAAATATAAACTTGATTTTTTTCAGTCTCCCTGAAGTTCAAGATAAAATATGTTAAAAAATAAGTAGTTTGTGGCCTTGGCATAGTTGGATAATCTTGGGCATGTTAATGTGCCCTAACCAGTCTAAGCCTGCTCAATAGGGATAGACCTATAGACCTGGACTACAGCACCAGCATTAGAGGTTCATGGAAGTACCCAAGCATAGATAAAGGACCTAAGCCATGTTCACCAAATAGGAGCTTTGAACTCTTAAAATTCCTTTGCATTTCCAGACAAACCCCACCATGGTACATTTCAGTACCTGGTGAGTAATGATGCTCAAATAATTTCAGTATAGGATCTATCCTGTGGAAATGTACTTTTATTATTCAAATGAATGGACTCTAAAAAGGAAAATAACCATTTAAAGGAGTTATATATAAAAACCTAATTTTGTCTAATTTTGTCAGTACTCAGGAATAGAATAATATCTTCGTTCTTTTAGAAATCCTTGAAAAATATTCAAAAGCTAAATGCCAAATTTATTTTGTTTGAGGAAAAACTACCAAGCTAAAAGAAGCACAGTTTAAATTCTACATATGTGGCCAGACATATGGCATCTGTATATAATCCCAGCACTCAGTAGGCTGAGGCAAGAGGATCACTGAGTTCAAGGCCAGTGTGGGCTACACAGTGAGACCCTGTCTCAAAACCCAAAGTAAAATGAAATTTGCATAATTCAAGGAGAATTTTGACAGTTCTAGTGTGTATCACAATCTTACATAGGTCCTGTGATGGCATTACAACTTGTGTAGTAGATTTACGTTTTAAACTTGCTTTGTTATTATTACCTTTGAAAATTTTTATATTGAGAACAAATTGTTATCTTTAGCAAATGCAGACATTCAAGTGTTGACTTCTAAATATTTAAGTCCCAAACAGCTTCCTTTAAAGAGTTTCTATTGCTTTACTGTGTAAGTTAAGCTTCGTATTTACCAAGAAGTATTATACATGGATGTATTTAAAATTTCAAAGGCCATGAAATCTCTAAGGGACAAAGCAGAACTACAGGTTTACTGAAAACAGTGTTCCCCTTTCTACCTCTAGTTTATTTTCAAAAACCTAGATAGTAGACAAGATAAAATAGATAGTAAAAGAGCAAGTTTAAAAAGTTACATCATAAACCCGTAAGAATAGTAATTCAAGTAAGCTTAGCCAATCGGGGGCAACTTGTAACTCTCTTTCTCACCACCAATACTGACTGACTCATTTTTCATAAAGAAAACACAAGAAATGCGATAAAAAAATATATTTTTTTTCTTGACACATCCTGCAATTTTTGGTTAGCAGACACAAGGCCAAAAACATGCAAACACTTTATCCCGTATTTTAAAAGAGCAAAGTCAGGTGATAGGAATATAATGAATAAAGTATAGCTTTCCTGAAAAACAGGTTATAAAAAGATCTTTGAAGTGTTGCATTCTTGAATTCAGTTTTACCCAAGCTTGCTTAAAACCTAGAATAGCTGGCTTAGGAAAACTTAATTAGGGACACTGAGTGCAATCTGCTGCATTTATCTTCATGTTGAATGCCATAAGAAATTCCAGCATGAGAGAGAGAAACTTCTCCTGATTGAGATTTTACTATAAAGGTGGAAAAAAATTTGTTTCAGTCTTTATACAGTAGGTCAACTAATAAAAGGTCTCAATTCACGCACACACTTTGGCCAACATTAGCTTTATCACATCTAGAAATTCATGTATAAAACAAGTTATTTCAAATATAGATGACTTTTAAAGAAGAACCTGGAGGAAATGTAAGAATAGTTTGGTGGAAACCTTAAAACTACTTGAAATGAGAGGATGTTAGTGAGCAAGACATTTACTTGGTACAGCTGCTCCCCAGGAGCTGGGGTCAGGTTAGATGGGATGTGCTCAACATGGGTCTCCTAATCCAGGTACCATGGCGCCCCTCAGAGTGCTTCACTTCCTTGGCAGGCCCTCCTGGCCCCACTGTCCTGTCCTTTTAAAGTGTAATGGCCAGGCTTTTGGAGATTTTTCTTCTGTAGAAATCTAAAAATATCTTGAAATACAGGTTTAGACATACAATCTTCATAATGGTTTAGATCCTTTCAAAATAAGAAATCAAGCTGCAATATTTTATACTTTAAATTTCTGTATCATTAAGATGACGGCAGTTTAATGAAAAAAAAAATAGTATAAATTCAGTATCACCTATGTGTCTCAAAAGCAAGAACAGTGAGTATTTAATAGGAATGACCAGACAGTAACAAAACCAGCACTTGTGTATTTGTCCAAAATGAATTAACTGTCTTTGAAATCAAAATGTATGGCAAGGTGAATGTTTCATTTCAGCAACTGTTACCTTTTCAGTTTAACACTTTTCAAACATAGAAGGGGACACACTTTTCTGCTCACAGAATTCTTAAGTGTGCACCTGCTGATCTGTATGGCAGTGTCTTCTTCATCTAGGATCTAACCACCAAGTAGGTCCATTTCAAATTAGCCTATGTGACCTTGTGTCTTCTTCATAGTAATAGTAATGTATTTGGCAGATGTCTTAAAAAAGGAACTGTAAACTAACGTAGTATAATCTTGATAATATGAGAGTCCAATACTTTTAAAAGTGTTAACATTAAGGAAAAGCCAAATTACCATGATCACTAGTTGTATTTCTCTAACAGTCAGTTGAGGTAACCTCTACATGTTACTGCTCCACATTTGCACACAGTTCTGACCCTCTTTTTTGCTGGGCTGTGGTCAATAGAGTCTGAAGATGTATCTCCAGAACCTGGAAATAAGAGAAATAGGAGAGAGGTAAGACAACTTAGAATGAATTTTAAATTTCTTGTTACTTTAAAAGTAGCAAACGTGAATACTGAGACAATCTGTTGCAGTTTTTCTTGAAGGATGGGGTGTGCTAAGGAGACATGCTACTTACATTTATACTTACAGTCCATATTTGTGAGAATGGACTCCCAAAGCAATGACATGACACTTACTGGGATAATCCAACACAGAATCATTCTTTTCACACATGCAGCACATACAGTGAGGCCAAGCAATCAATATGGAAATGACTTGATAAACATTCTCAGAAAAGCAAAATATTCATACTGTCACAATGACACAAATAGAATTAAACATTCTTTTTAAAAGATTCAAGAAGGAATGGAATAAGTTTGTGATTTAAATCATTTTCAGTTTTATAAACATGTCAATAAAATATTTTTGTGCATGTATGTGGTGCTAGGGATAGATCCTAGGGCCTCACACATGCTAGGTGAGCACTGTTCCACAATTCTTCTTTAATACAAGTAGTACAATATTGAGAAAAGATGTTAAGAGCAAATCAGCTTCCAAAATGAATGTCCTGAAAAAGTCAGGAGGCAAGATGATTTAGAAGGAAGACCATTCCTTGGCCAAGTCAGGCAGATACGGGTTTTAGCTTTAGCTATCAAATGAGCTTGAGACATCAAGTAAGATCACAAACTCTTACAGCTTCAATTCTTATCAGTCTGATGCAGATGGTCATTCCTAGTCTGATGTGATTCTTCACTGAAATATGAAACTGTACTTAAAAGCCATACCTTTCATTTGGTAATCAAAAGTTAGTTCTTCTCCAGCATATATGGTTCTTGTAGAAAATAATGCTATTCGAGGAAGACGAGTATCGAGGTTATCAATGAAAACATTGAACACCTGAAGATTTGGGTCACACTAAAAAGAAACATTAGAGCCCACTTAAGTGACATGAATGAGCTCTTTTACATGCCATATAAAAATCTTTTAATTTCCTAGAATATTCTTTTAAATTTAGTGGAAATTAAGTTGCATATTATGACACATACATACTTTAAAAAATACTGTTTTCACTTTTAAAAACATAGACATGAAAGTAGAGAAAACAATACATCTGCAAGTTTCTACTCCACAACTTCAACAATTATTAAAATGCTTGTCAATTTCCTTCCTATAGTATCAACTTAATTTTCTTAGAGGATTTGAATATAAATGCCCTATCACATAACTGTTTCAGTAAGGCATATACTTCAAAGAACTAGAATAATCATATTAAAAAATCAACACCATGAAACTCAAATTTTATATTGTATAGAGTTTCATTAAACTTTTCAGAATTGTTCAGTATTCTGAGAACTCTAAAGAAAAGGCAAGGAGTGAGATCTAGTAATCATACTTTGAAAAATGTTTTTGTTCTTGAAACAATCTACGTATTTTGGGAGTACAGTTGTGCCTTTAGAAAGGTTATGCATCCATGGACTGAGTCAACTGCAGATTCAACCAATCTCAAACTGAAAATATTTGGAGAGAAAAAAAGTGCTTCTGTGCTAAGCATACAGAGATTCTTGTTGTTTCCTAAACAATGTAACAACTATTTCCATTGCATTAGGTATTATAAGCAATCCAGAGAAGATGTAAACAGAGAACATGTATGAGAACATGTTTTTTAATTTTTTAGTTTTTGAGACAGGGTCTGACTGTGTAGTTCAGGCTGGCCTTGAAGTCACTACATAACCCAGGCTGGTGAGTGAGTCTCCTGAATGCTGGGATAACAAGGTATGTGCCACCACACCTGGAAATATGTCATTTTATAAAGGAATTTGAGCATTAAAGGAATTTACAGGAAATCTTTATAGGACCTATAGGAAATCTTGAACCAATATCCTAGGATACTACTGAAGGATGACTACTGGGGGGGTACAGAAGGACGACTGTTGTGCATTTATGACTAAGAATTCTTTTAAGCAAAATTTTAAGAAAATTACAAAACTAACAAGGGAGTCAGGATGTTTTTTATATTTTACTACTATCCACAGACGAGTTTTTCAGTATACAATTCATCAGTTTAGCAGAGCTCCATCCTATAAAAGTCAGCAATAGAACTTAATCTCTGAGAAACATTTTCCTTATTATCTGTAACATCTGTAAGATGGTGATATATTAATTGCATTAGCCTTATCTACCTGGCACTTAGTAGATACCCAATAATCATTAACTTTTTTTATTTTCTTTGCAGTATAAGAACTGAACCAGTACCTTACACATGCCAGACAAGCACTCTACTACCGAGTTAATACTCCTAACCCCCTTATTTTTGGAAATAGTTTTTATAGAGTATAAAATTCTGAGTTAAGACTATAGTTCTATTCTAACTTCTTTCAAACAAAATTAAAACTTTAGGAAAAATACTAATTTATAACTCAGACAATGAGTTCTAAATACTTCTAATACTCTATATAAATCCTTAAATTTTATCATATGCTAACATGCCTACATCTAAGAAACTATCTTTATTTGTACAATACTTCAGTAGCTATCTGAAGCCACAGATAGTATCAAACCTGACATAACTAGGTTTTTTTCCTACACTTGTCCACTTACAATAAACTTACAAATCAGGCACAGTTAGAGATTAACAATAACATTAACAATAACAAAAAAAAATTATATTACAACAACTACAGAATTATAATGCAATAAAAGTTACATGAATGTTCTTTCAAAATACACTTTTATCTTTTCACTTAAAGGAAGCACTTTGTGTTTTCTCTTTGCCACGTGTAAATGGCCAGCATCACTATTTTTGTGCTTTGGGGTAATTATTAAGTAAAACAAGGATTACCTGAACACAAGTGCTATGACACTGCAACAGTTCATCTGCCAAATAAAACACCTACTTAATGACAAGTATGTAGGTAGACTATACACTGTGACTATTTTGCACAAAGCAACTCATGTCCTGATCAGGATGGAGTGGGACAATTGAGATTTTTCTCATGTTAATGAGAATTCCTTGCAATTTAAAATTTACAAATTCTTTTTCTGAAATGTTCCACTGTTATTTTGGACTATAATTAATGGTAAATATTCAAACTATGTGGAAGAGGAAAAATGCGGGGAAGGGGAAACTGATGTACATTCTGGAATTTAGTTATATTAACTCTGTTAAGACATTTACGGAGTTGCATGTAATCCTTAAACATTTTACTTTTTAACTCCTCTGCTTATTATTTTCTCCTGGGATATGACGGTATTTTACCTACCTTGAAAAGTTACTGCCAAGTTTAAATGAAGTAACGTATGTATGGATTCTTGCAAAATACCCAGCACATTTGGTAAGCATATGACTGATTATCTTCCTAATAAAGCAATAATACAACAACTTAGCAGAAAAGGCCCACATTTAGAAATACTTGGGAAGAGTCCACAGTTCAAAGATTTTGGGAAATCATTAAAAACTATGAAGTTGAATTAATTATCTTATCTACAACGTAAGTATTTCTTCTTACACTATGATTCACAAAGTGAGACACATTTCCATATCGAGCTGCATCCACTGTAAATTCATCAGATTCATAGTCCAAATCAAAGAGATATGTAATTCCTTTGTTGTCATATAATTGGCCCCGTCTTTCTGCTTCTTCACTTGTAATTACCTAGAGAGAAATAAAACCACTACATATCTATTGAAGAACTGAAGAAACATTTACCCATAAACATACAGAATATGATCAAATATACAACTGAATGTTGAAATTTTATAAACCACAGTGAAAGACACATTGCCCTTCAAAATACAGCCCCCACTCTGCTCCCAGCTTCAAACATTCTTTCCCATCGCTTGTGCTATTTTTGGAAGTAGTTCTGGAAGTCCTTTCTTGTCTTTGGTCTTTTGAGATGGGGTCTTACTGTGTAGTCCAGACTAGCCCTGAACTCTCTGTTCAGCCTAGGATGGCCTTGAACTCACGGCAGTCCTCCTTAGCTTCCCAAGTGCTGGATCACAGATGTGTGCCACCATGCCTGGCATTTGTGTGCTTGTGAGGTATGATCAAAATACAGCATAGTGAATGCTGTTGCCTAGTAACATCCAATGGAAAGGCAGTCTCATAAAAAGTCTCTTCTACCTTATTCACAGGATTTGGCACAGTCTACACTTCTGACTCTTCCTCAAAAATCAAAACAACAATGAAAGATAAACATTTTTAACTGATTCAGGACATTGATGCAGCCACAAAAGTAACTAAGACTCAGAAAAGAGGACTCCAGAACTGCTTTGGAAACTGACAAGAAGGATGGGCTCAGTTTGAAACAAGGGGAGGGTTTTTTCTGTTTTGTTTCTGAAACAAGGTCTCATTATACAATTCAGGCTGGCCTTGAGCTCACTTTGTAGCCCAGGCTGGTCTCAAACTCACATTGATCCTCCTGCCTCAGTCTCCTGAGTGCTGGGATTACAGGCATGAGCAACCACACCTGACTAAAAGGGAGGGTTCTGAGAAGCAATGTGTCCTTTATTGTAATAAATTCTTTTATTTAAACCATTAGTTTTTAATCACACCCTGTATTAAATAATATATTGTTACATATTTTTTCTTTAAGTGTTTTCAAAACCAACACTTAAGAGCTAGATGAAAAGAAGTGGGAAAAAGGAAGGGAGGAAAAATAATACCAAAGTGACTTTTTATATAAAATTTGACACAACAAATTGAAACATGGTACTATTTTCATTATAATGAGGCTATTCAAAAAGCCTTACAATATTATGTGTGGTAGTACCTGCCTACAAATCCCAGCACTTGGGAGGCAGAGACAGAAGAATGGCCATGAGTTTGAGGCCAGTCTGGTCTACAGAGTGAGACCTTGTCTCAATAAATAAATAAATAAATAAATAAATTAATTAATTAATTAAAAAATGCTATTCAGCTCTAGGTCTGGACAAAGTGAATGCAAAGGACTACAATTTATGAAAAAGGAGAGGTCATGTTAAATTTGCTGTCATCTCCATGGAAATTATCCACAACAGGTATTTATAAAATTCTAAAGTTCAGAACAACCAAACCAAACTACCACCCAGGGGCTGGGATGTAATAGTGTCAAAGTGCTTGCAAGGCTTGCATTAAGGTCTGGGTTTGATACCCAGTATCACTGGCTGAAAGAATTGTGCAGGGCAGAGAAGGTACAAACACTACTCACAATTCTGCTCTTAACAGCTTTATCAAAAGATCAGCTCAAGAATCCAAAAATGTCTAAAGTGATCCATGCTATTACCATTTTGTTAAGCCAAAAGAAGAAATGTGACTAAACAAGATCTAGTTTTCCTTTTTCTTTTTGAGATGCACTCTCACTATATTGTTCAGGCCAATCTCAAATTCTTGGTCATTCCTGTCTCAGTCTTCTGAGCACTGCAATTGCATATGTGCCTTCACACTGCTAAAAATCTAGTCCTGAATGGCACTTTACAATAGTCTGCCACTGTCTAAAAATATAAGGATCAAAACAGAGATCTCACTTAATTTCAGAATATAAGTACTGTCAAGCAATTTTTAGTAACTTAAACCAGTTAGATCTGACAATCACAGACAAGCAGCCCATTCCTCTCTTTCCAGGCACAGCATAGTCGGAGGCAGTCTGGTATAGTGGGGAGTGTTTATTCTGGAGTTTTGATTCCTGGCTTTTCTTTCTACTGCTATGTATCTGTGTGACTCTGAGGAAGTTCCTCAAGTTTTCTCTACTTCAGTTTCTTCACCTATAATAATTGAGATGACGCTCTTTCAGAGTTTTGAGAATATCAGTGAGTTAATATATTGCTTGGAATAGTATCTAGTACATTGTAAATACTTTTAGTTTTATATGTGATATGTATAAAAATAAATGACTGCTCAGTATTTGGTAATTCAGAGAATGGTCGGCAGTTCAAAGTGGCTAAGTTACATTTCTGATTTTCTTATGACTCCAACAAATGCTTGTGTGTATATTCTATAACACATAAAGCATCCATATATATTTTACATGTTGACAGAAAGCAGACTTTTGTTAAACTTAACCATATTTGTACAAACAAAAGCCACTGCAACTTGCAAGTTTTTGTTTTTTTGTTTGTCTTTTTCCTTTTCATTGGTACCAGGGATCGAACTCATGACTGCCTGTTTGCAAGGCAGGTGCATATGCTGCTGAGCTAAATCCCCAGCCCCTACTTACAAGTTTTGAAGTCTGCATGTGTTTTGCTGATTTTCTTACTAGAATTTCTTTATAAAAACAACTGACAAAAACAGACAGACAAACACAAAACCAAAGCCAGGTGTGATGGTGCATGTCTTTGATCTCAACACTCTGGAGGCAGAGCCAGAAGTACTGTGAGTTTGAGGACAGCCTGGGCTCCACAGTGAATTCAAGGCCAGCCTGAACTACACAGCAAGACTCTGTCTCAAAAAGAAAAATGGTTGTATTTTAAAATTTATGCATACCATGTTCTGTAACTATGAATGGATCCTGGTTGAAAAATGATTATCAGTTTGTTGATATACATATTTTTTGTTCATACGGTATTTATATTTCTAACTGTGCCAGTGAAATCTACTCCTAAATCTGAAAATAAATTTCTATAATCTGCAAATATATAAATGTACCGAGTATTTATGTTACTGAGATAAAAAGATAACTTTTCAAAAATATAAACTTTATATGTGCCAGATGTAGTATAGCACACGCCTACAATCTTAGTACTTGGAAGGTTGAGGCAGAGTGCCATGAGTTCAAGGCCAACATGGACTACATAGTGAGAACCTGTTTCAGAAACAAAAACAAAACAAAAAAATTATACCCTACACAATACACTTACACGCATATGATTTGCTATGCGATAAACTCAACATACCTCTCCAACATATTCCATGACAAAACTCATTCTTTTAATCTTCACAAGGGTCTTCACACCCCAGCCACAGCCATTGCTAGTTCGAAAGATGCAAAGTGAATACTGTGTGCCTTTCTGTACAATCCTATTGGGACAATCAGGTCCACATTGGCATCTTGAATTGCATTCATAGATGGGAGTCCCAGGTGGGATTTTAATCTGTTGGTTTTTATTATAGGCCAACACAACGCCAGCTTCAGTGGGACAACATTTCTCCAAGAAGCAATCTGTACACGAACAACCAAAGGTCACTTCACTGACTAAGCTGATTCCAGGAGCTGGTTTGTATTCATTAATGTAGTAGAAGTCTGTAGGTGGGCCCTCTAAATCAACAGTATTTTCCACAAATATCATTCCTTTATGATTCTTTCTTCTGTTGAGTTCGTCTTGCCACTTTTGCAGAGCTATTCTTTGTTTAGCTTTCTTTACAATGTACCGAGCAATAGCAGGTCTCAAAGTTTTGTTATTGTCTTTTGGAATTATTGCTTTGCTTTTCTTTACCTGAGATAAATAATTATGCTTGTCATTAGAGAATTGCTGAAGCAGTAATGGACACTTGAGATTTTGCAAAGGTTCCCAAGTATTTGTAGAATCTGGCCATCCTTTCCATTTTACAAGATAATATTCCATATCCTTAAAACACAAAGAAAATGTCAGATTATAACAGTTGCAATTAGAATAAATATTCTGAAGAATAAGCTACTCATTATCATTTTTCTTAACATGTAGAATGACACATTTTAATAGATGAGGTACAAGTCATAAAATGTCCAGAAAATATTTATCTGTGACCCAGGTTGTTGTTTTACTTGGCCAGAATTTAAGGCCCACAATTTAATACTATCCACTGGACATGAGGGAACTTAACTTCTCAGTGTTATGGGCATATATTTTTTCACTATTCTGAAGATGCACTGTTCAATACAGTCACTGCTAGCCACAAGAAAGTGAAATATAGCTCATCAAAAGAAAGATGTGCTTTAAGTATAATGCACACTAGAGACTCTACAAAAAAGTAAAACAACTCTAAAGTTTTAATTTTTTTTTTTTTGAGGGTGGTACTGGGGACTAAACTCAACTGTCACTTGCAAGTTAAGTACTATTTTGCTGAGCTACACACAGCCCCACTTTAGTATCTAACTTTTAAAAAATATCAATTAAATGCTGACATACTTTGCATAGATTGGATTAAACAATTATACCTGTTTCATTTTACTTTAATGTGGTTGCCAGGAAAATCGCAAATGACATTTGTGACTCATCTTATATTTCTATGGACAGTACTATTGTGGAGAATGCTGACTTTTAGACTAAGTCATGACTGGGGCAGGCAGCAGTCAACTCAAGCCACCAGAAAGCAAGTATTTCATCACTCGGACTGCTGCTGGGCATCAGCAGCCTACAATCCTGTCTTTTTCCCCTACTGACTCAACCTTCTTTCCTCATAGTCAGGCAATGCCTTGTACAACACTAAGTTTCTCTTAAACAGACAGTGAGGGTTGGTCATGGTGGTATATGCCTGTAATTTCAGCACTCTAGAAGGCTGAGACAGGAGGATTGCAAATTGAAGCCCAGCTTGGGCTATTTATCAACTTGGTGAGACCATGTCTACAAAACAAAACAAAACAATGGGCTGGCGACACAGCCCAAAGGAAAGACCCTAGGTTCAATCCTCAGTCCTGCAAAACACCAAGAAACCAGCAGGTAGGTATAATACATACATTCTTCCATTCAGTTTTTTTTCTTTTTTCTTTCTTTCTTTCTTTTTTTTTTTTTCTGTCTTTTTCCTTTTTTATCGGTACCAGGGATCGAACTCATGACTGCCTGCTTGCAAGGCAGGCGCTTATGCCTCTGAGCTAAATCTCCAGCCCCTACTTTTTTTTCTTCACCCTCTAGAATATCCACTTATCCATGTGTCCTAGGGTAAAACAGGCTCATAAAATGCTTCTGAAACTTAAAAGTGATTAACTCTATTTGACCGATTTTAATTATTTTAACTCATGAATATTGAAAAATTTAGGGATAAATCTGCTTTTCTCTAAAAATTTAAAGAAGATTTTTATATAAAAGATATATAGGACAACTTTAATATCCATTTTTTTTTTCTTGGTGCTGAGACTGAACTCAAGGCCTCAAGCATGCTAATAATCTAATAATTTGTTAATGATGAGTGACGTGGAAGGTATAGCCACATAGTTTTCAGCATAATGCTGAGACATAAATTGGGCTAAGGATCACTGTGACTCATCCATGATGAATTTATCCCTGCTGTTTGTACCTTTGTATTAAGGATTTTTTCTTTTCTTTTTCAATACTGGAGATCCAACCCAGGGCTTTATGAATGTTAAACAAGCACTTTACCATTAAGCTACATGCCCAGTCCAAGTATGTATATGCATTCCAATATTTATTATATTCTATTGAACAGGCAGTAATTCTTATGAATTAAAAGAACTTTGCTTCTTTTTTGAAAACTGGTCAAAATATGGAGGTTTATTACAAATGTTTTAAATTGTTGAGTGTAGCAGCACACTCCCCTAAAATACTAGGTATATGAGGCTGAGGTGGGAGGATTGCAAGTTTGAGGTTAGCCTGGGCAAGTTAATGAGCCTCTTTCCAAAAATAAATAAAAAATAAAATAAAATCAACAACAAAAAAAAGATGTGCAACTCACTGTAGGATGGATGAGGCATTGGGTTCAATCCCTACCAATGTCAAAACAAAGAATTATGGTCTGAGAATATGCACAAAAACTGTTATTTCTATGAAATACACATCATGGTCCCCCTGCAAACACATAGAAAAGCCTAGATATATATTGAAATATGTGTAAACCAAGCACAAAGGTTGACAGATTTCTCCCTCCTGTCAGGAAAAAGCTTCAGACTGTTGTTAGCATGTACCTGTTTACACTGAAGCAGATATGAGATCTCCTTGGCAGTTATCTACCATATCTAGTTCCCTCAATTCTAATTTCTGATGCCGTAATAAAGCAATGCAATCTGTCCTTTTCCCCCCTACTACAGTGAGTGCTTCCTATTATAGGCCTGAATTATGCCAAATATTTCCAGAAGTGGAAAAAACCCAGAAACACTGGCTTTAGTTAAATGATTAAATTGTCACCAGCACAACTAAAGCGTGACGTGTCACTGAATTTAATTTAAAACAATTTACTGTGTTAATTTCAGATGACTCAACTGTGTTTTAAGGGACTAGGTTTTATACGTTAATCACATTGGTTCCTCCTTAATTCATGGATTAATATCCATGCGTAGGGGAAAAAAAGAATGCTTTTGGTAAAAATCTATATGAATATCAGCAATATTTTATTTCTTGCCTTTTATAATCATATTTTATTTGACATTCAAAAGTATTTTTTGTTTTAAAAAGCATGTTTATACACACACACATGCAGGCATACACAGAATCACTGACTTATATAATCAATTTAATTCAATAAACCTAAAATTTCAACCAGGTGTGATGGTGAATGCCTGTAATCCCAGCACTAAGGAGGTGAAGACAGAAGAATTGCTGCAAGTTCAAGGCCACTGTGGACTACACAGTGAGTTTACAGCGAGCTGGAACTTCACAGCAAGACCCTGTCTCAAAAAAAAAAAATAAATGCTAAAACCATCCCCCCAAAACAAAAATAAAAACTCTTAAGCTCATACTTATGTATTACTACCTGTATTCTGACATGTAATCAACTCTTGATTACCTACAGAAATGGAATAGAGTGGTAAAAATGGTTTATAAATTACTCCTAAGTAGGTTGGAATGTATTTATATGAATTTCTTAAAAGACATTCTCCTTTACTGTATCTGCCATCAGTTAAATTCATTAAGATATTTTAATATCTTAGTAAGTATATGAATGGTCACTGGAAGGTATTACAAGCCGTCAGGAATAAAACTCTGGGAATAATGTGAAATAAATAGCAAGGCAAGGCAATATAATTTTACATGCTGAAATAAGACAATATCACTAGAATATAAAGAGAGATACCAATATAGGTCAGATAATCAGAAATGGAACAGAGAAAGTAGAATTCTGAAAGAATGAATCTGTTGGGAAGGGAAGACGGCAGGCAGGATGAGAAACACAAGCAAAAGCTTGAAGCTAAGATTGCACAAAGTATCCAGAAACAGCTAAGAGATGGATTTATCTAGTTTTAAGTTTAGATTGCTGAAACAAGATAAAATGGTAATGTTAAGGCAAGAGCAAATTTCAGATACCCTTGAACACTTGCCTGAGGTATCTGAACTTTATTGCAGGCCAATGATTCTTATAATTCTTGGAATCTATGTGTTTCTGGGGGAGCTTCCTTCAGTAAAATACATTAAACTGCACTCTGCTAATCAGGAATAATTTTACTAATCTTTTTACTGCCCAACCAATGAATTCTTCTGATTTTCATTTAATCTGACCTCTTGGTTATAGCATCATTGTTTGACCAGTCCTCATACTATGATTTTCTCTTTCTTTTTGTTCCTTTTCTATTTTCTGTGCTGAGTGCTTCTCCTATCATTTAAACAATGCAGATACTAAAGGGACTCTGTCCCCTTCCCCTTTTCAGACTAAACAAACATTTATTTATTCTTTTAGAGAATCTGATGGAAGTTAAGAACTTTCCCATAACAAAAATTACTTATGTAACATTTTGAGTTACTTCAGAACATTTGGGTTTCAAGTTAAGAATCCTGCTCTAAAGGGCTCCTTCTGGGCAACCAGATGTTTCCCAAAGCTTTATCTGCAGCCCTACATATACATCCAGGCGCTTACTTGATGTCCAATAGGTTCCTAAAGCAATCTAACCTTCCTGAAAATACCACTGCCCTTCCCAAACTTATTTTCTGTATGCCTCACTATGTAAGTTTGTAGATCTTACCTGTTTACCTATTCACAGAAGGTTGCAGATCAAGAAAACAATCTCAATTTCTTCTCCTAAAGCTAACCCATCAGGTTTCTTTAGAGATGGATTTCTTGTCTAATATTCCAATCTGCCCTTCTTGACTAAAGTGTAATTCTTATATTAATTCACAGAACTACTGATTGTTTTTCTCAAAAATTAATTCTCCAACAGCATATGGAATAAAGCCCAAGTTTGCTATTGTAACAAAAGAATGTCACTCTTAAATTGGTCATTTATGCATCTCTGGCTCAACTTCCCCTCGCAGCCCCAGTCATACATTACCCTCCCACCACACTGAATTATCTTTCACCAATACTGGAATACATCACTGTAATCTTTTGGTGCTTTGTTCTCAATGATTTCCCTACTTAGAATCATCTAATTTGCCTATTGAACACTTAACTTCAGTCTCATTTTTTTACATAGAAGAGAAAAACTACTCATTCATTATTTTTTTCTACTCACTTTTACCTCTTCTACATAACATCTTTTGCCCAAGATGAAGTGATCACTGCCAATTTCCTTTTGTTCCAATTTCTAATTTAAACTATAAGATATTTGTGAGAAGGTATGGAATTTTATTCTTTATAGCTCCAGAATAAGTACAACTGCCCATCATCTCAGACTCTGACTAAATGTTTATGAATATACCGCCAAAAATATTAACTACCAGCATGTGTGTGGTACAAAAGGCATATAATAGTAACTACATAAATTCTGAAAAGAATACAACCTGTTAATCTTAAACTGGAGATTACAATTCAGTTTCAATACTTGTTTTGTTATCTATTTACTGTCTATAGCCCACATATGGCAGCAAACATCTAAGCTTTACAAATTATGTTATCTATTAGGAAAAAAAGGCAAAAAATTTCCTATCTTTCCATTAGCTATTTTTTTTTCTGCCAATTATGAAGTACTATTCAAAATTGGTGGTAGAACAGCCTGATCCCAATTGTGACACACCAGTGGGCCTATGTGAGTACAGTTGAAACTACTATGGTCAGCAGGAAGTCACTGGATTTATATGAGTGATTGACAGACAGACCTGGGGTTAGAGATCCTGCCCTGAAAGAAATGACTCATGTGACCTTAGGGAAGTCCTTTTTAATTCTGTTTTCATGATTTCTCAAATTTAACTTGTAATTTAATGATTTCAATGTTATTCTAGGTTCTTCAAAAACCTACAGAAGCTACACACTATCAGCCTCTGAAACCTATGGATTATTCTGTTTGTCAGGATCAGGCCATATGTATACATAGGAGATCTTACATTCTCTAAGTCAGAGCTGAAGAGAGTGTTCCTCAGCTTAACATACTGATGGACAAATATCATCCATGTGCACAGGACCCTGATTCTTCACTGCTAAGTACATCACTATTCACAATATTATCAGAAATTACTCCATATGAAGAAATCAACACTGATACAGAAATACCACACAGCACTGAGAGTAACACAACTATACTTTACATGCATTAAGTTCAACTAGACCCCAGACATGAGTTCAAAACATTAACAACCTATTCCCCTAGATAGCATTCTTTGCATTTCCCAAATTGCTTATTTCAGAACTCTTCTACTTTGCACAATGTCTCCCTCCCACTACCTCTTTCCAGCATTTTCATTTGCATGTTTGTTCCCAATGTCCAGCTTTCCAGGGATGCAGAACAGGTAAGATGGGTTAGACACATAGGAGAGATGAACTTCCTCCATCACTTTTCTCCCATTTCTTCAATTTCTCCCATACAACTGGTTCTGAGACACATGTAAAATTTTTTTAAAAAGCAAAATAAAATGAAATCTCCTTTGAGATATATATGCTTATATATACAAGAAATTTCTAAGACGTTAAGAGATAGAAAGTGGGTCACAGAGTGGAAGACTTCCATATATAGCTTTTTATAGCATTCAGTATTTAAAATCACATGCATCTATTACTCATATAACTTTTTAAAAAAAATATAACATTAAGATATAACCCTGGTATCCTATCTTGTCTTTTTCTTCTTCAATGCTAAGATTCTTACAAAAACGTTGACATTACTTGACTCTACTTTCTTACAATCTTCAATTTGTTCTTTAATTCTTTTGGCCTGTCTATCCATGTTACAGAAACTAACTAAGAACAATGGCCCCTTGGACTACTAACTTTAATGGACTCTTACAGTTTTTAACCCACTGTTGAATACTGTTTTGTTGAGAGACTATGTTAGGCTTCCATGATTTACTCTTCTGGTTTTCTTAGTATCTTTCCTTAGTTTGTTCTGCACTCTCTCACTAAAAGATCTACCCCACACTATCAGGGACTATACACTTCCACGTTCTTCAGTGCTTCTTCAGATGTCTAGTGCAAAACATAGAAGAGGGCCAATGATTACCTTCAGTTAATGAACAGGTAACTCTACTCATTCTGAAGAATTTAATCACTATCTTTTTCTCATTACTGATTTGGAGCCACATTTCTACCTCCATTTTCTTTCACAAACCCAATCTTGTTCCTTTTCCTATATTCTCAAATCCTTGTGGATAGCACTGTCTACATCATTTCTGCCCAAGTCAGAAACTTTCATTTCCTGTATATGGCTCCCTCACAGACCTTACCTCCCTCTGACACAAAGCACAGGCCTGTGTATTTTACAATTTTACTAAAAACAAAACAAACCCGTTTCTCATTCTTTCAGTTCAAATGTCATCATTTCTTACCTAGGTTTCTCCAACAGTCTTCAGAACATATGGCTGTGGATGTAATAATTGCTTCCTACCAAATTGACTTTTTCAATGCAAGACAAAGACTCTGAATTTCAAGTCTGATGGGTCACCCTGTTTAGAATTTTTCAGTGGGCTTCCCTATGGCCTTTCCCACTCTTCCTGTTACTTCACACTTTAGACAGATGCCACACTGAATTATAACATTTGTCCTTGTGGACATTAACTGGCTTTTTCTGGGAAGCTTTCTGTGATGTAACCTATATTTACACACATATTCCTACAATTTTTTTTTTTTTTTTTTTTTTTTGGTAATGGGGCTTGAACAGAGGACCTTTACACTGAGCTACAGCCCCATTCTTTTTAAAACATTTATTTTGTAATAGGGTCTCACTGAGTCACCCAAGATGGCTTTCGATTCCCCTGCTTCAGCCTCCCTAGAATGCTGAAATTACAGGTTTACAGTACTATGCTCAGCCTCTTATAATTCTTATAATGATGTTTGCCATAGTACCTAATACAATGATCATTTGTTGATCATTCTGACTAGGCTGTAAGTTCTTTAAATGAAAAAACTTATTATTAATCTTAATATTTCCAATGACTAATGAAATACCTGCCAACTAGAAGAAACTCAAACATGTTAAGTAAGTCCACACATAAAACAAACAGGAGACAGCATTAAATACAGTGAAGGACTGATCTAATAGTGATAGTAGAGACTGGGGAAATGAATCAAAAGATGTTTCAACTCATTAACTACTAACTAAAGCACAAAAGTGCATGACATGTTTAAGGAAAAAACACAAACTGTGTTTTAAAGCTATGGTTCCAACAGAACATAGGAGGTGCTCTTTAAATCTTACCTAAAAGAAAGGACCTAAATGTCTGTCTCAGTCAGGTAAACAAGGAATTATTAAAAGGTCTAGCAAAACCAGAGTGCAATCAGAGCTGGGTTTAAGAAATAACTATAATGGCTGTGTGGAATACAGTACTAAGACTATCATTTCATGAACTAAGTGGAAAAGGACACACAGGAAAAAGAAAAATAGGACTATCTGCTTTTTCACCTATCCTGATATATATGAAAGGAAATGTGTTGAAATGATAGGGCATGCGTACTTCTATAATCCCAGCACTTGAATTCAAGGTTGAGGCAGGAGACTGTAGAGAGTTTAAGACCAGCCTGGGCTACATGGAAAGATCCTGTCCTGAAAACTGAACCAAACCAAACCAAAACAGCAGTAATGCTTATAGATTAAACATCTGTGCTAGGTAGATAAATAGGGTGTTAAGGATATCACAAAGTAAAGTTACTGATTCCAAATCAAGAAAGTTTAGAAAGCTGAGTATGGTGGCAGACATCTGTAAACCCAGCACTCAGAGGGCACCACAACTGGAGGCTAGTCTGGACCACACAGTGAGTTTAAAGCCCCATGAATTGCACAGCAAAACCTTGTATCAAGAAAGGATTAAAAAAAAAAAAAAGAAGAGGAAGAAACCTGAGAAAGACAGACACAAAACAACAATAATTTATTTGATTTCACACAAGAATGAATCCTCATAGCCTGGGTAGTGCCTATAATGGAAGCACAAACCTTTAAAGACAAAAAATGTGACACAAATAACACAATCTGATCATGTATTAGATTTAAAGGGTAAGAAAGAATTTAACTATGAAATTAAGGTTGGGAACCTTGAAGTATTGTGGTTATGTTAATGAAGAAAGAGACCATTATTAGCATAGGGTGCAGATTTGAAGGAGGAAAATAAATGTGCTAAAGTTGGTACCTTTAGGGTATCTAGCTTGAATGAAGCCCACAAAGAGGTCAAGGCCTCAGAAAAGCTTTATAAGTCATGCCACACAGGTCTAAGTACCACTGGAAAAGAGGTCACTTAGAGAGCAACTATAAGGAAAGAGCCAGGGACAACACCGTGGAGATTACCTATGTTGCAGGGGAAGATGGGTAAGAGATATTGGAGGAGATTCCTAAAACATATTTTAAAAAATATGTGCATAAAGCAGCAGGAATAGAGGTACTGACAAGAACAGTTAACTTTGATACAGGATTATTACCAGTGTCAGCCTCTGTTTAGACTATATTAATCCATTTAATTATGGCCTATGACAGTGGTGGTAAACCTATGGCATGAGTGCTGCAGTGGGCTGTTTATTACCACTGAAAGCTCAAAAGGTTTGCTATCATTGTTCTAGAAGATGCATACTATAACTATTACCATTTCATAGATGAAACTGAACAAGAGATTCAGCATCTTGCTAACAATTATACATAAGTTATAAGGGTCAGAATTTTAACCAAGACATTACCTCTACAGAGAAGAAGGTGGCCAATGGTATTAAATGTGACAAAGTAGTATAGTAAAATTTGAGACCCTCAAACTTGACAATTAGAAAATCAGTTTTAATTGGGCATGTTAATACACTCCTTTAATCCTGGCACTCTGGGAAGCTGAGGCAGGAGAATGGAAGTGCAAGCCCAATATGAGCAGTTTAGTGATTTGGTGAGATACTGTCTCAAAACAGAAAAATTCTAAAAAGGGCTGAAAAATGAAAGGCTCTGTGTTCAATCTTCAATATTCGGGGTCACTTGTAAGGGCACAAATCAGAACAAAGTGGAAAACCAATTAAAAGTTAATGGAAAGTGAATTCACAACCCACAGGATGGCAGAAAAACTTTGTACTTCAGTAAAAAAAAAAAGACAATCCAATTTTTAAAAAGGATTTGAATAGTTTCTCAAACATATACAAATGGCTAGTAAGAGCATGATGAAAAGTTGCTCAGCAGAGAAATGCAAATCAAAGCTTCAATGAGATGAACTTCAAATCCACCAGGATAGCTATAACAAAATGTCAGGCAGTAATAAACACTGGCCAGGATGTGGAGAAGCTAAAAATCTCACATACTATTAGAGGAAAAGTCAAAAGTGGCAAAGAGCTTTGGAAAAAGTTAAACATAGAAATAAATATCAAATGAAGCAAGATAAATGAAAACTTATGCCCACACAGAAATTTACATATAAACATTTATAGCATGATTACTTATAATAGCTCCCAAATGGAAACAAACCAAATGTCCTTTAAGGGATAAATGGATATGTAGTACATTCATGTAATCAACTGTTATTTCGCAATTAAAAAAAAAAAAGATGTACTGATACATGCTATAACACATTTAAGACTTAAAAACATGGTAATTGAGAGAAGGTGATCTCAGAAGCCCACATACTGTGTGGTTAGAAAGCAGAGTTAGTGGTAGTCCAGGGCTCAGTATGGAAGAGTATCTGGGAGGTGACTGTGAAGGAGTCTGGTATCTTTTTAGGTTAATGAATAATATTTTAAAACTGACTCTGAGTACACTTGAAGATCTGAGTTGTATACTTTAAACAGGTGAACAGAATGATGGCATGTGAACTGTCTCAACAGAGCTGATTAAAAAAAAAAAAAAAAAAAAAAAACAAGGGGAAGTGACTCTGAAGGAAAATACGGTACAAAAAATACCTGAGTGGAGAGGCAAAGTCAAAGAAAAATTTCTGAAGGTTGAAAGATAAAAGTATGTTTACTGACTTAAGACAAATCATCGACAACAGAGCTTGATATAAAAAAGACACCACAGATTAGGAAAGGCCTAGGAGGATGTTAAATAGAAAATGGTGGTAAAGGGACAGATAAACTGATGGTAAAGAGTGCATACTTGAAGATCTTTTCACTGATGTTTAAGAGGTCCTCAACTGTGAGCTTCTAAGTAGAGGAAGAAGTCCATAAAAGTAACAAAAATTAGAGTAACTGCTGACATGAGTAAGAAAAACAGATTAAAAAATCTTATCAAGAACTGAGCAATATGAGAATAAAACTATGTTTTAGTGGAGCCAGCATGCATAATACCTTATTCTCAGCCAGACTGCTCAATCCAGAACTTATAAACTGAGGTAGCAGATAACTGGGCTGTTTCATGAGTTGAAGAAAGCAATGTACAGGGCCAGGGATTTAGCTCAGCCACGTAAGTGCCAGCCCTGCAAGCACATGGTCGTGAGTTCGATCCCCAGTACAAAAGAAAAAAAAAAAAAAAGAATACAACATACAGGTGAAAATGCCCAACAGGATGCTATTGAGAAAGGAAGGTAATAATACCAAAGGAAGACGGACATTTCAAAGAATTGGATTTAAGAGACTGATTCAACAAAGATGAAGATGGAAAACAAAGAATTAAAGCCAAATCCTGACTCACTTATCTGAAAAAACAGATTATTGACCAAAACGGAATTCTTCAGAGGGAGGCTAAAAATAAAAAAAATATTCAAAAATGAGGTTTAAATCAAAAGCTTCTTAAAACAACTTACAAGGATTAAAGAAAAGCCCAGAGAACTTAAATGAGTCTACTCATATGGCACTAAACAAAGACCAGAAATGATTTTTTTGAAATGCAGGCTATTCTATTATAGCATAGACACTCATGTATCTTGGGTTTGACATGATGGCAGAAAACACAAATGGTGACAGGTCTTGAGATTCAGTAATACTAACATTGATTCAAATTCTGGTCCATTTCAGGTGACAGTGGAGAAATATAATTCAGGAACAGAATGAATGATAGGAGGATCCAACCTGAGATCAAACATCTGCCCTGGTAAACCACATGGAGATAATCAAGAGTTGGATGTATAATGATAAAAACACCTTAATATATTTTAATGCAAGAACACTTTGTATTTCAAAATCTTTTCAGTTATCTGACAATGTAGATAGGACATATAAATTTATCATTTTTGAATTTTAAACATTAAGAAGATCTTTATTTATTGTTAAAGTTCTTTTTATATTACAGAAATATGAAATACTAACGTGTGATTAGGTCTCTTTTAAGGGGCTAGATATTTGCCTTACCTTTACTACCTTGTAGTCACACAAGTATTCCACCTCATAATTGTTTAGATTCCTTTTGGTGATTCCAATCGATTTACATGTGAGCTTTTCTTTTCTACATAATTCCTGAAGAGTATCAAGTGAAACTAGGCAAGGCACACACCAAGCTACAATAAGAAAATACAATTCTTTACTAGTGAAACCGCTACTCAATTAAAACAAAAAAGAGAAATTTAAACTTCTATATCCCCAACCCCTCAACTGGCAATTTTATAGTCTAAAAGTCCATATAGTAAGAGACCATTTGTATGTTTAAGAAAAATCATGCATTAAAGAACTATTTTGGTATATTGACTTTCTTGGATTTTCTGTTTCTATCCTACCATGTTTAACTAACATAAATTAATTTCTACTAATCCAAGACAGCAAAATACTTCATGTCTGTAGGCTTTCTGAAGATTACACACAGACGCAAAAGACAGTATTGGTAACAGTCTCGGTTTTTTCATTCCTCTATATCCCACATAGAACATATGCGCTGCTGTAACAAAGCACAGATCTTTAGGTCGTACTAGGTACTTTTTAAAAGAATTTGTAAAAGGTAACTTTTTCATCTCTTGAACATAAGAACTAAAATCTAACTGAAATATAGTTCTATAATCACAAACTCCTATACTCTAGTTTTCTCTTTGCAATGTTGCATGAAAGTTTATCTCAACTCATTATTTTGTCCATGGTGTAATGTAGGGTCAAGATGTATACACTGAACAATTGTTTTAAAATGGACATTATATGATAAGATTTTTGTACTGCTCGTTTACTGTGTTTTTAAAGCTAAAAGTTACAAAGTATTCAAGTTATACATCCACATACCACATGGGAGTATCAGCAAACGCATAACCTTACAGAAGACAGAAACTAACTGGATTGTAAATTTTACCTTCAAAGTTTTGCTAACACACTGAATTTAAGACACAGTTACGTGAACTGGCGATTAGAGATGTGTAACAACTTGGTTTTATTGCTATGGTCATGGGAAGCAGCAGATCAAGAGTTTTTGGTGGGTGACCTGATCATGTCAGTTCAGCGAGATCTCAATCCTTCTGGGGGTCAGCTTCACTGGAAAAATGTGAGGGCTGGAGAAAACTGGTTAGCAAAAAAAAAAAAACGTTGCCATGAATTCGAGCTGTCCTTGTAGCTCTCCAATGTGTGGCAATAACCCGTTTTAGAGGTAATTTCCAAAGAACAGAGAACACAGCTGCTCTAACTGTACACTCGAGCCCTTCCCTATCCTCCAGCTGCTTTAACTGTACTTACTAGAGCCCTTCCCTATCCTCTGTAAGTCACAGAGACTTCACTGTTGAGCGCAACACAATTGCCACTACCCTAACTCGTTGCAAGCCAAAGTTTTTCCTCAAAAAAATTTACAGGGAGACGCTGACCGCTTTAGAGTGGTAGTTTTGGAGAGAGAAGTCATTTCACAAATTCATCTGAAAAGCTCAAGGATGTTTTGTGTAAAGTGAATATTACTAGGCAGCCCACGTACAAAGGATCGCCTTCTCGAGCACCAATCTACCAAGTGTGTTTGATGTTTCTAAAAATTTTTATAGCTGAAGATTAAAAAAATAGCAAACACTCGGTTAAATAAATTGACAGCCTACAATAATGAAGAAAACGATTTCGTCGGCCAGATTAACTATCCTCATTGCAGTAACACCCCTTCGCGCGTTCACCCTACACTCGCCCCGTCACGCGAGTCGGCTTCGGGACAATGAGGTCACAGAGCGCCTGTGGAAGCAAGGGCGAGAACCCCTCAGGCTGGGGGCGCGCAGCGCCCACATTCGCGGTAGCAAGCGCGCCGTCCACGCGGACGACTCACAAGTTTGCGGCGGGCAGAAAGTTGCCTAGGCGGACGCGGCGCCCCACACCTCCACCGGAGGCTCCTCTCCGCGCTCGTAGCACCGCGGTGCCCGCAGCCTCCAAGCGGCGCTTCCGCTCTCGGGGAGCCGGCGCCACAAAGAAGCGCGGCCACCTCTAGACTGGCCGGCCGCACCGCCAGGCGGGGAGGCGGGCGCCGGGCCGAGCGCGGGCTCGCGGCAGAGTCGCTCGGGGGCCGGGGCAGAGTGCAGCCAGGTGACGGCGGCAGGATCCTGCAGCGTCGCCGTGCGGGCAGCCTGTATGACGGCCCGGGCTTCGGGCGCACGCCTGGAAACGGGGCGGGGGTCGCGCTCCGCCTCACCTACTCGAGCCTCGGTCCCGGCCGCCGCCATCTTGAAAAGCTTTCATTCAAACTGACGCGGTCTGACAAGGCCGCTCAACTGGCCCAGCGCCCCGCCCCAACTCCGCGCGCCGACTGGGCCTTAGCTGCGGGACTGGAGCCCGCGACGCGCGCTGACGTCACGGAAGTCGCTCCGGACCGCCAGCGCGCCTGCGCCCACGTGCTCCACGCTCGGAAGAGGCGTGGCTACAGGGCGTGGTCTGGCTCGGGCTACCCCTGGCAGCCAGGTTCCAACCGCAGAGGGGTGCACCTGAGCAAAGGTCCCACGGAGTTCCTCCGATGCCAGATTCACTTCACCCCTCTGCTAAAGCGGTGTTACGCTGTGGTCACTTGGAGTTTTGTGTGACCCACTTGCAGAAATGGTGAAGAGCTGGCACGGTGTATGGCCTGTGCAGTGGCAATGGTTTGAAAGCACCCAGCTGATACGCGTGATAGTTTGAAATATGGTCTCCATCAGTACTTCCCACCAAAACCCGCCTGGGGAGGCTGACTATAACGCTGATTCAGCTGTGCCAGATCAAGCCCCTGTATCTCTGGCCAGCTGTTCGAGCTCTTGGGCAGCAAGGCTGCAAGACTCCAGGGGCCCCCTCCTTGAGGTGACCCTGCCTGCCCACCAGCTCTTCACACTAGTGGCCATGATTATTCTAGTAATCTATAATCTAAACTTGAAATTTTAGAAGAGGAAATCGCATCCATAATCCCAGTACTGAAGCAGAAGGATTCTGGCAAATCCAAGACCATCCTGGGCTCCAAAGTGAGCTCAAGGGGGTCCTGAACTACACTGCAAAACCTTGTATCAAAAAATACAAAAAAAAAACCCAAAAAACAAACAAACAAACAAACAAAAAAAAACCGCAAACTTGTAGACAGCCATCTTAACACCAGGGAGTTTTAAAAGATTTATGTGAAAATTACACTGCTGTGTAAATTTGAAATACTGCAAAGGTGGAACATTAAAGGTTATTTGACTCCATTATGAAATGCTGGCTAGCCCTCTGAAAAGGTGCTTACAAAGTTTCTGGTGTCATAGAAGTGTTATAATATGTGAAGCAAAGGCAAATCCTAAAATAAGAGTTTTAACTTTAAACAGAAGCATATAGAGGGCTGGGGATATAGGGACACAAGTGCCTGCCCGGCAAGTGTGAGGTCATGCGTTCAACACCTGGTACAAAAAAAAGTATGTGGAGGAAGACAACAAAATATAAAACGTTCAGTAATTTGACTTCCCAACTTTACATATTTAGCTATTTTCTGTTACGAGCTCCTATTAAGGAAGTACAGGGACAAATGATTTTTCTACTCCACCACATGCAAGGCACC